TATATTTTTAAAATAATAATAATAATTAATTTCATAAAATTGCATAAAAAACTCATTTTAAAAAGTATGATACCATCAAGTGTTGTTTTTAAAATATAGATTTTTTATTATTTTATTTGAGAATAATTTTGATATTTAATTTCATTATAAATAATATAATAGTAATTTTATCATCTTTTTAGCACTCAAACATTTGATCAAATGAATTGCACATAGTACAAATAAAAAAAAGCACACAAAATCAATACAGATGCATATAGATTTGAACTACAATTCAATGTAGAAAAAAATTCTTGAAAAACAAAACCAACCATCAAATATAATTTTTCAAAGGAAAGCATAAAGGCAAGTTTCAATTTATCAAAAATCGTAGAAAAAATATTTATAAATTTAATTATTTATTTTATAAGACCATATCAAGAAAATAAAGCAACAATTAATTTTTTTTGAAAATCACATAAAAATTTAAAGATTTAAAATAAAATTTTATAGTATTGATGAGAATATTAATTTTTAAAAGTATTATATTAGGTTTATTTTATAGATTTTAAAAAATAAGCATTTTTTTTAAAGAAAGCATAAAGTGTTTTCGAGACTACACAAAAATAAAATCATTATATATAAGTGTGTGTGTGTGTGTGTCTATATATATATATATATATATATATATATATATATAGACACACACACACACACGAACTCAAAATAATAAATAATATTTGAAAAAAAACTCTATTTAAAAACTATGGTACCATTGGTATTGTTTTTAAATTCATATGAGAGGAATTGATTTCAAAATATTCATTTAAAAAAAATAAATATCAAGTGTTTTTTGTGTATATGAAAATCAACTCGTAATTAAAAAAATAAGCCTTTTTTTTTTAAAAAAAGAGCATAAAGTGTCTCTAGACTACAGTTTTGGGCACATAAATAAAATCATTATATCATATTTATAAAATCATTTAGTTTCTTATACCTAATACAATTCTTTTTAATACACTCTTTTTATATAGGCTAGGAAGAAATTAGCTGAAAATAATAATGAAGGAGTTCCTTAAATCACAAAGTAAATTATAAATTACTCTTTTTTTTGAGAAATTAATTAATTAGTCTTTTTAATTTCAAAAATAATTATTTAATTATTTTAACCGAGTGTTGATTACGATAATTTTTCTTAATTATAAAACATATTATTTTTCATCAATCTTTTCATATTTTCACTTTTTTTTATTTCTTTTCTATATGTTAAAGGAAAAAATAAATCAAAAAATGCAAATAAAATTAAATAATCAATTTTTAAAACTATAGAAACTAATTGATTTGTTTGTGGAAACAATAGGGACCAATTTATAATTTACTCTTCATTGCAATTCTTGTATGCGAAAACAAAGAAAGAGGGGGAAAAAATCAATGAAGATGGCCAGAAAAAAACAAATGGAGATGACCAGAAAAAAACAAAAGAAGCAAATTAAAAGCAAATCAATGAAGGATAAATGTGAAATTTCATTTAGTGGCATGAAAAGACATTAAGAATAACATGGAAGGGCTTTTGTCTGAAAAAAAAAAAAAAAAAAAAAAACCCAAAACCCGAATTGAAAGAAAAAAAAAGTGTACAGTAAGCGAATAATAGTATTGTGTGAATGAACAGTGTCAAATGAACGGTCACAATACTTAATTTTTTTTAATTTTGTTTAGAATTTAGAATTAGAATTAGCATGTAACATTCGTTCGAAAATATAGAGTAACGTCATGTTAGTATCCTTCACCTGACCATTTCGTTTTTAATAATAACGTGCGGACTTGACATTATTAATATCATCAATGATCAATAAAGGCCTTACATGAGAATTGACCACCATAAAAGATCTATAAATAAATTAGTTTTCTTTATTTACTGTCTTGTTATTTAGAAAATAAATCTAAAGTCATCGAGAGTAATCAAAACAAAGATATTTAGAATTTTGCGAGTAGAACCAATAAAAAAAAAATTTTTTTTTTAGTAAAATAATAAAGCTTTTAGGTAAATTTCACAAGAAAGTATATAAATATTTATTTATTTAATTATTTATTCGTATTCTTTTATAGAATTAATATGAAACTGTATACATTATTATTTATTTTATATTTAATATTTTAATACTAATTGGTTGAAAATAATAGAATTAGATATAAATACGCATAATATAAAAGATATGAGAAAATAAAAACAGAAATCTTTCCAAATATAAAAGTTAAAAAAAAATGAAAGGAAGAACTTACCGCACAACATTAATTTAATAGATGACACGTCGTCTATTTCTGAGTGGAGAATGCATTATCTTCTATTTTCTTTTTTCCTCAAGTGGTCAAATTCCGACAATCATGCCAGATTCTGGCCAGTTTTCACCAAAAAAAACATAAATACATACTCATCAAATTAAAAACTCAAATCCACACATATTCTAAATTTAATAATAAAATAAAGTTTAGAACCAGATGTAGAAATAGTATCTTGGCTAATTGTACCATCTGTTTTGAAGAGTATTTGCCATCTCCCTTGTGCTACTATTGTCTTTATACAATATCGATTTTCATAAAAAAAAAAAAAAGATTTTTTTTTTTTTTTTTGTGAAAATATAAAACATTTGGACTATAAATAAGAAATTTGTTTCCCATAAATCATCCATAGAGTGGTAAAGGCATTGAGATTATATTTATAACAAAGTCGATACTGAAGAATTTACTATAAATTCATTGTAAAAAATTGAAGGTACATTGTCGAGTGTCTTGGTGGAAGCACAAGGTATTCACTTTTGTGCTTCAGCTAATATATTTAATCGTAAAAGTCAATGACTTTATGTTTCCACTAAAACATTGAATAATTTATCAAAATTAAGGAATAAGTTATTAATGATAAAAGAAATAGTAATAATAATAGAATTAGAGAGAAAGATGATAGAATAATGAATTTCACTGTAAAATAAAGTAAACATAAGAGATAATAAATTCAAACAATTCTCTCAATCTCTACAAAACACTTCTACTCAAACCAATGAACAAATAACTCTATTTATAGACTTCAAAATTAAGAATAGAATTAAAAGAGATTATGAATCATTAAAAAGGTGCATAAATAATTGAATCAATTGCATTACTCATTCAATTTCTTATATTGAATGGTCAATTGAATCACATGAGTAGTGGAAATATAAAATGGTTATGGACATTCGTTATTTTATAACACTTCCTCTTGAATGTCCATCATACAAGAAACATATCTTATTAAAACCTTACTGAAAAAACTCAATGGAAAAAAATTATAGAAAAGAAAAAAGAGTACAATAAACATTAATCTCTATGTTGGGCTAGCTCCTCCTTTTAAAAACATCATTTAAGATTTTTAATACGACACATCTCGACCTTGTGAATCATTTTTTCAAAAGTTATGGTATATAATGACTTAGTGAATAAGTCCGTTAGATTATCACTTTGATGTATATTTACGTTAATTGAATTATGCAAGCAAGTGTTATCTTCATTGATATTATTGAAATTTCTTTGCTGATAGATAAACCATGTCTCTCGGATATAATGGGTCATTGATTCTTGTCAAACACATTCTTGACTTGTCTCATGAATTTGTATTTCCGCATAGTTTGAATATGTAGCAAATATATTTTGTTTTATAAAACATCATGATATAGTTGTATTACCATGTGTAAATACATAAATTATTTATGATCGAGCTTTGTATATATCGGATAAATAACCTACATATGCATAACCAATTAAACCCGACTTTTATTTATTTAAGTAACATAAATATCATATCAATTTTTCCTTAAAGATAACATAGAAAAATGTTTAATTCTATATCAACGTCTTTGTATTGAACCGAACTATGTCTTACTAATAAATTTATAGAAAATGCTATATTAGGTCGAGTATTATTAGCAAGATATATCAATGCACCAATGACATTAAGATATGGTACTTTAAGATCAAGTATTTCTTCATTATCTTTTAGAAGTCAAAAAAAGGTCTTTTAGGATATCAAGTGAACTCAAAGGCACTTGAAATCTCTTCAGGAGTTCTAATAATATTTAAATCATCAACATATATGACAATTATTACAAATGCCTTTTCGAATGTCTATTTAAAAATACATAAACAAATAGAGTTATTTTTATTACATTCTTTCAATAAATATTCATTGAGATGATTATACCACATGCACATAAGATAGTATTAAAAATTAGATATTGAAAAATAAAAAAATAAAAATAAAAAATACAACATAAATTGAATTTTTAAGAACTAAAATAACAAATTAATCATTCTAGAGATCTCCATAATTTAATTGAATACATTTCTTAAAAATGTATATTACATGTTTCAAGTATATTAAGTCCTTCTATGACTTTAATATAAATATTGTTTTAAATGAATAAATATGTTGTGATCGCATCCATTAAATACAAGTATGTAAAGTTTTTCATATATTTTACTAATCCAACAAAATAACGAAACATAATTATATTAATTACAAAAAAAATATATCCCTTCGTAGTTAATTTTAGATCTTTATAAAAATTGTTACGTTACAAGTCTTTCTTTGTATCTAAGGTCATGGAGCAGGAGAAAAGCTATCGGGAGAAGGAGCTAGGGCATTGAGTTTATATTTATAATGAAGTTATTGTAGAATTTTCCACGGAGAAGTTTTGAGTGTATTGGTTGAAACACAAAAGTCATCGACTTTTGTGTTTCAACAACATGTTTAAACATAAAAGTCAATGACTTTGTTTCAATCAAACTATGAATAACTTGTCAAAATTAAGTGATCGCCCTTAGAAAGAAACATTGGTGGTGATTCCCTCCCTCACTACAAATGAAAACATTTTATCGGTACCCCAACACACAGATTGAGTACATCAAATCATATAAGAAATTAAAAAACAACAATACTTGACGACGTGGATGACGGTAAACCAACAACTTATGTGATGTATGTAGATACAAACTTAGATCTTACTCCTCATGTAGTGGTTTGCTCCAATTTTTTCAACTTCATCATCTAAATTTTGAAGTCCAATCCTGAAAATGGATGTAAAAGCATCCATTATAGGCTTGGCGTTTGATACGAGAATTTCAATCTCGCCTTCTTTTGGGCCATCACCTACTGAAATTGCTTCGAAGTCATCAATGGAAAGTTCTTCATTCGTTTTAAGTCTTCCCCACCCAAAATCAATATTGTACATCTTAAACCTGGGTGATGAATAACTTGCCAAAAACCAACCTTTGGATGCTGCTTCCCACTCTGACACCCAATTCTTAGCACCTTTCAATACTCCTCCAACCTGGTGCAGGCTTTTATGAATAGCATCTCCTATGCTTTTAGCTCCAATCAGAAAACCATCGCTTCCCTTCAACTCTGCCATCTTAGCACAAGCTATGGATTGAGCCACACAGTTACCAAAATAAGTTGCAGGCAAAGGCGGGTCCAATCGAGTTCTACAATTTATATCAGAAAGGAAATGTACCATTTCACCATCGTCTTCACCACATGCTGCTGTAGCCTTTGCTAAGCAAGACCATACATATCCACATGTAACAGTGAAAGTTGATGTATGTGACAGAGATGGGTACCGGGCTAGCACCAGTGTCTTGAGCTGTTGAGCAGTGGCTTGACTGATTACAAATGTGGCTCGAACCTTATTGGTAGGCAGTATTGAGCTGTTGAGCAGTGGCTTGACTGATTACAAATGTGGCTCGAACCTTATTGGTAGGCAGTAGTTGATCAGGTTCTGATCTTTCATGCTCTGTTTTATCGACATAATTCCACAAAATGGTCTCCACTTCAAGCCCTTCAGGGTCCCTGAGCCGAGTCCTATCGTAATATGGCACGAATTCACCGCTCAAACATGCTTCACCTCCTCCTCCTTTTGTGATTGAAGCCCACGTTTTTAAGAATGACGTGATGACAGAATTGCCATCACCAACCGCATGGCGGAGGTGGTATCCCACACAAATGCCCGAATTTAGAAAGAGTGTTACTTGAAAAGCCGAAATTGGAGCTACTAGTGTGTCATGTGACATGGTCTCTGGTGGAAGTCGAGGGAGAAAGGAGAGATATTCCCTCGTATCTCGTGTTTGTTTCCCCGTAAGATGATTAAAATCACTGCTCGACTCTGCGAAGGTTAATGAGGCTGAATCACCTTCTAAATAACGGATTTCAGGCTTAGCAGAATTTGGAGGAAATACTAAGTTTCCAGCAAATGGGTAGAAGTATTTGAGGGCGAGCGAAAGTGAATGTTTAAGGCTTGGAATGATGGATTCAATAAAATGATTCTTGGAAATATTGGTAAAATCATAGAAGAAGAGGTGTTTGGCAAACGTGTCAACCGTGCGAATATCAAACAAGGTGAGAGGGAGCGTTTTGTCGGAGGTAGTACCAGGTGGTGGAGAAACTTGGCAATGTAGAATCACAGTGGCCATACTGTATCAGAAAAGGTTTAGGAGATGCTTCTTGCCTCTACTTGCAAGACTATAATGAGTCAGATTTACATCAAAGTCTTGGGATGAACCAAATATTTTTGGGATACGAACCAACTTTTGAATTTTTGGGATGCCTGGAGAAATGTGTATAGCATGTGTGATCCGCAATTCTAGCTATGCTAGCTACGGTGAGGTGGCTCCGAACGCAATATCTTTGTTGCCGTCTGTGCTGAAAATCATTTTTGTTAGCCATCTTGTTTACCGGTATACATATATACCTTTTGCATTTGTGTGATATGGTCCAATAAATAAAAGACACGTGGATTTGTTGACACAATTATGGTTATTGTCAAACAACTTCACAAGTCTGTCTCGTGTGTGTTGATGTTGATCAACGAAATCGTTCAGTTTGATAATAAATCAAAAAATAATTTTGTTATTTAAATTGAAAAAAATAATTAAAATTCAGGTATCATTCTCTATTTTACCAATAGTTTAAAATATCTTGGAATAAAAAGGTGCATGAGAAAATGAAATGATCGGACAAGGTCTCGTGACTGGGAGATTTGGATAAATCTTCATTCTAAAAGGCGAGGGTTTGAACTTCTTCTTTCTCTCTGTGGAAGGGGTATCACCATTGAATGTTCTCGCCGTAATTAATGTACGGTCACTCGTCTCCTAAAGGGATATAACATGAGATTAGGAAAAGGAGACGTTAGGCCACTCTATGAAAGGAAGAACAGCAGCTGATAGACCAAAGCAAAAGGCCGCCCATTGGACTAGTTGAATGAAACCTTATCCGATTATGGAGTGATCAGAACCTGGTATTCTTTTATCAAAAGACATGGCCTTCCTTAATGGACTTTGAAACAGAGGCTACTGTACCTCAGGAAATCTCAAAGACTTTCTACCATTTTCGTAAAGGACAAACCTGGCCACTGTACCACAGGAAAATAATATATTTTTGGGTAAACTTCATTCTTGGTCCTGTAGATCCACCAATGTTTACTTATACCCTTATAGTTTAAAATTTTCCAATATTACTTTTCTAGTTTCCAAAAAGTTCCAAATATTAACCCAAACCATTAAATAACCTATTTTGTAATTTGGTTTTTTGTGTTTTGTTTAGGTGTTTAAGTTTGTTGTGAGATATTATTTCATGCATGAAAATTTGGGAAGGAAAAAGTGAGAAAAATAAAATAAAATAATGAAAAAAAAGTATCAAAGTATAAGATTGCATAGCCGTATATAAATTTCAAATACAAAAAACTTTTACTTAAAGACATATGTTAAAAAATAATATAAATTATATTTTGAAATCTTACTTTACATGTTAACTTTTGAGTTAAAATGATTTTTTAATATGGTATCGAATTTTACACAAATTAAACTTTTAAATTGAGATAACTATTGGATTAAAATGGTTCTTTAATATCAAACGATCACAAATTCGAATCTTATCATCCTTTTCTCTTTTGTAAAAAAAAAAAAAAAAGAGCTAATTAAACGCAAAAGAATAGTAAACATGCACAAGTTTTAAGTAAAAAAAAACTTTCACAAAATAAAATGTATTAAAAATTAATATAAATTATATGTCCTAAAAATTTCGAATTAAAATGGTTATTTAACAGCAATAGTGACAAACCAACAAAGCCATGCAATTACAGAACAAAAGAGACCCTGGCGAATGATTAAACCACTAGACACGTTTTTTTTCGTGGTAACATTTTTCATGGTCTCCGATGGTTAATCAAAATTTTGGGACCAACGGTCCCGGGTCGGGATGCTAAATTTATTGGCTGTGGTGTGAAATTTAACGTTTTCAGATTAATAGGAGCAACTTACAACAAATTAAATGAAAGTTATAAAGATCATGGCAGGATCATATTTTCTGTCCCTGTTACGGGGAACATATTGTTCAATGCAAAGCTACGGAATTATAAAATAATTTCATGGTGTGATACAGCAAAGCCATGGATTATGAAAGGTACCTCGCTATTTAAGGTAGTATGCAGGGCATATCGATCTCACTATCAGCTTTTTTCCACAATATTCAGGTTTTTGCTAGATTAAACTAAGGCAGCAATTTGCAAACTGATGGAGGACACCAAGTTTACCAGCCCGACTTCATTCTCAGAGACTGAAGATCTTGACCAAGAGGTTCAAGAACTACTTTCTTCCCTTCCAAAAGGAAAGGGATGGTTTGGTGCTGACCTCTGCCAATGCCAAGGCTTTTGGTGCCAAACCAACTTTCTTCGGAATGTAATATGTTCTCAAAGATTCTTCCAATCTCATGACCAAGATATCATACTTGCCTCCTTCCCAAAATCTGGCACCACTTGGCTCAAGGCCTTGATATTTTCCATTGTTAATCGTTCTCGTTATACTTCCTCAAATACACCTTTGCTCACTTCTAGCCCTCACAAGCTCGTATCCTTTCTTGAGCTTGATCTCTTTGACAAAAAGGAACTTCCCATTGATCTTATCAGTACTACCAGAACCCCATCTACATCTCCGAGGCTTTTCGCTACTCACATTCCCTATTCATCTCTGCCTGAATCCATCAAGAAGTCTAATTGTCGTATTGTTTACATTTGTCGCAATCCTTTTGACGTGGTGGTCTCCTGGTTTCATTTTCTCACTCAACATAAACATGCAGAGAAGCTAGATGAGGAGCATTTTGAGTCGTTTTTTAAGGGAGAAGTTGCGGGTGGACCCTTTTGGGACCACGTATTAGGGTTTTGGAAAGAGAGCTTAGAGAGACCACACAAAGTGTCATTTTTAATGTATGACGACATGAAGGAGGACATTGTCACTCACTTGAAGAGGTTGGCTGAGTTCATAGGGTACCCTTTTTCAACAGAGGAAGAGACACAAGGTGTGATTCGAGAAATAGCCACGCTGTGTAGTTTAAAAAGTTTGAAGGATTTAGAGGTCAACAAGAGTGGCAACTACTTGCCAGATCATGCGAATAACTCCTTTTTCAGGAAAGGTAAGGTGGGTGAAGGAGTCAACTATCTCAGTTCTTCCACGAAGCAACGCTTAGAAAATGTGATGCAAGAAAAATTAAGTGGATCTGGTTTGACTTTCAAGATGTCTTGAAAGATCTTGATTATTCATATCAAAAAAAAAAATAAAGTTGTTCATGCTGTATTAGGATTAATTTGAACAAGGTTCCTTGCTAGAGGACCCTATTTGAATGTCTGTATCTGCATGTACGTTTATTGTGTCTTTGTCATGTTTGCTTCCTTCAATCGTCTGCAAGTTGTCTTTACACATTGTATTTGTTTCAGTTTTCTGCATGACATTAATTAATATTAATTAACTAAACATCTAGTATAAAACTAGTTATTTCTTGTATATTATAAAATTTTTCAATCTAGAAGTTATGAAAGCCATTAGATATATGGATTTATTACCTTAATTTTCATGTCAACAGAATTTATGAATCTAACACAACAATGAGAAGATTCTTTCGGACCTTTGGAGAGGAGAACGGGGAGATTTTAAAATGAATCGGTACTCTAAAATGTTTCGCCAAGGCACCCATCACTGTAATAATTACATTTCCCGATCAGTAACATGTAATGATCCTAGCTCAAACGGATTCCGGCATCCTTGCCATATTGAATTGTGTGCATTAACTTGGGATCGAGACAACAACCTCTGGCACAATGGAGCATCTTAATCAAGCAAAACATATAGTTCAGTCTTTCCTCTTATTAATCAAGCAAAACAGATAATTGAGTCTTTCTGAAACCATCTACCAGTGCCATTTTTCCTGCAAATTCTTTTTTAGGGTATAGGTTATCGGCCTTCATCCTCTCTCGCAACCCATAGATTGGAGTTTTCGCATTGATGTAAGCATCGACCAGAACCTCAAATGGTTTAAAGCGTGAGGTATACCCAATCTCCCTCAGACTCTGGAACAACTTCTCCGTATTATGTATATCACCTCGTGTTGCATGCTGCTCCATGACAGCTATATATGTTGTGTACAAAGGCCTCTTCCTCTTCATCCGAGCTATCTTTAGCAGAATGGATTGCGCTTTCTCAATATCCCCAGCTTTGATATAAAGCCTCACTAGTGCATCCCAAGTCAATGGACCAGCCCACAAACCAATATCGCCCATCCGTTCCCCCAGATCCTTGCCCTTACCAGTTAGGTTGTTGTCTATGTAAACATTCAGAAGAGAGGTGTAATAGCCAAAAGTCGGATTCTTCCATGTCTGAAGCATCGTCTCTGAGACTGCTTCTGCTTCTTCCACTTTGCCCAACTTGCCCCAGGCTTCTATGGCAGCTATGCACTCACTCTGCTTGGGATCCGCTTCACATTCCTTCCAAATTCTACCCACCTCGTCAGCCTTTCCAAGAGAGGCATACAGGAGGAGCAATGATCTACGAGCTCCTAGACCTCCACCCTTCTGTTTTCTTTCTTCAATTTCCCTCACAATGAGGTCAGCTTTATCTTTTAACCCTGCAGTCATGTAGTGCCTTGCTATGACAGCTAAAGCAAAGACGTCAGGTTCCATACCTTCCTCCTTCATAGCCATAACCAATTTCTCCATCCCCCTAGTGTCATTTAACTGACATTTAGCATCTATAAGAAGCTTGTACGTAAGGAAAGAAGGCTTGATGTTTAGATTCTTCATCGTATACAATACATTGGGTATTTTTTTCTTCTCCATCCTCTTGTAGATAATGATCATCTGATCACATGCATTGACAGTGATTGGCAACCCTAAGTCTCTCATTTTCTGAAACACAAACTCTGCTTTTTTGATATTCAAAACACTGACACAGTTCTCTAAGAGGGTTTGATAAACTAATATACCTCTGAGCGACTCGGGGATTTCCACAATAAACTTCTCTGCCTTCCAAAGCCCATGTACTTTTGCAATGCAATCAAGATGACATGCATAATCAGTTTCAGTAAAATCAATTTGCTCACTTCTTCCCAACCACTCAGAGAACTGCAACAATACGAAAGAAGTTAACTCAGCACATGGCATTGTTTGATTCAACGTGGAGAAGACACGTTCTAAGAACAGGAAGTCTTGAAAAAGGTGCCAAACATTTCTATGTTGTCAGATCATTTTCTTTCATTGAATCTTATAAACAAGCTGTACTACCAATTAAAAAATGCATGTGGTCTTTAAAAATCAACCGGTTCAGAAATGAGATCCTGGCAATAACAATTTTGGCTGTTCACACAATTGTTTTCGTCTAATATTTTGAAACACACTTTTAATCCTCCGAAGTTAGTGACTATAATAACAAAGATAGAGAAGGCAGTCTAGTCAGTTAGGATAAGGTTAAAGCGCCTTAATATGCCACAAAAGATTGAAGGAGTCTGGAGGGGATTGCCCACAGAATTAACAAAAAAAAAAAAAAAATTGTCTAAGGTTTTATGCAATAATTAAGTCCCCAGTGATGGGAGAGTAAATTCTCTAGGCTTGGTTAAACTGGCAGCATCTCCACCAATTAAGCACATGCGACACTGAAACATTTAGCTAAATGCATGCAGGCTCACAAAATGCAAAACTTAACAGAAGAAAAAGATCAAGACAGAGTAACTCTAATGCCCTCCAATATAACTGCTTTTTCCGAAGATGACCCACAATCAAAGAAATCTCCTCTCGACTCAACTCCTTGCCCTCCTCGGTAAGCTTATTAAGAAAATCAGAAACATTTGGAGCTCCCTTAATTGTATTTACCAACTCTAAAGCTGCCTTTTCCTTACCAGACCCCTCATCCACTTCCTTTGCATCACTCTCTTCAATTATCTCATCCATACCACCTGTCTCAAACTCCAAAAACCCACCTCTGATTTCACCACTCTCAACGCCACTTCCCGGAACAGCCTGAGAACAGTAACCACAACTTCCCACAAATAGTTTTGCACTAACACCTGGCCTATGGCGAAGCTCATTAGACAAACTGAATCTCCCCAAAAACACATTTTCAAGAGTACTTATACCAGCTCTATCACTCGCAAATTGACAAACTTGATCCGATTTAGCAGTGATCACTCTAAAAGACCCAGGCCAAGACCCACCTATCCTGGCATTAAACAAGAAATAAATCAATAACTTCAAAACCTATGCAGAGATGCAGTATAAAGTATAAACAGCACTAAAGATGCTAACTTCTTCCCTTAATTTTAATAACAAACAAGCATTTTATAAGTTGGCATAAGATTTGCAAATGAACAATCTATTTACTTTTAAGGCAAACAACGCATCAAAATGTATAGTGGGTGCTTTCTTAATTTGATAAAAATCTTGAAATGAAAATTCTTGTGATAATAAATATCTAAAAAAGAGATGAGCAGTATGCAATCCGTTCTTTTCACATGAATTGAATTATATTCAAGAAATGGTGACCATAATCACTTTCAAAACAAAAACCCATTATTTGTCTCTATGTAGAGAGTGAGAAAGTTACCTGACAGAGAGTGAAAAGGCTCGACGGAGAGACCACATGATAAACCCCATGGGCAGCACAGGAGCCGCGGTTCTGGAGTCTTAAACCCTCTAGTGTTAGAATAAAATGAAATGGGCTCATATAAACCAACTTTCAGCCCAACTAAAGCCTAGACTGAAATAGGCACATCATGTTTTAGCCCAAACAATTAAACATAAAGGTATCCTGGTCGTAGCATGCATAATCAAGTCAAGGAAACAACTCCGTATCTTTTTGGTAAACTACATTTTTTACCCCCATCTATTTATCAATATTAAACTTATACCCCTTCATTTTAAAATTTTCAAATATTAACCTTTAATTGTTTCATTCAAGCATTTCAACTTTTATTCTTTTCAATTTTTTTTTAAATTATCTTAAAATAAATCTTTATACAGACTTCTACATCAGTCAAGATTAATTTTTTTTTCGAATAATCTTAAAAACGTATGTTGACCGGTCAAAAAAATATCTTTTTTTTTAAATACCAGTTTTAAAATTCAAATATAGAGAGTTAAGAGTAGAAAAGATTTTTTTTTTAGCGATCTAATGAAATGAGAAGCAAATTTTAGTTACTTTTTCATCCCATATATTTATTAATATTCAACTTATATCCCTTCATTTTAAAATTTCCAAACATTAACCTTCAACGGTTTCAATCAAGCTTTTCAACTTATCTTTTCAATGACTAGTGTTTTAATTGTACAAGGCATTTTCGAATCAATTTTAAGTCAAACAAAATTAAATTTTCTTTGTTAATTATCATAAGATCAATTTTTATATCGATTCACAGGTTAATCAAGATTAATTTTTTTTTTCAAATAATCTTAAAGAGTTATTTCTCATATCATGTTGATCGGTCAAAAAGAAATAAATTCTTTTAAGTACGTATTAGTTTCAAAGTTGAAATACAGAAAGTCAAGAGAAGAAATAATTTATCTTTAAGCAAATTTAATTACTTTTCCTCCATATAAATTAAGTGACCCTTCTCAATTTTATAGCGTAATACTCTCAAATAAAAATCTCAGGTCCTTCTAATTATTTGAGAGAGCAACTTTGGTATTTGCCACATATGCAGGTATATATAACATTATTTCCACAAACACGTTGATTTGTTGTGCTGATCATTTGATTTGAGTACAAATTGTGATCTAATTAATAATATAATTAATAGTTATTGGCTACATAATCAACATAGAGGCAACATCATGAGGGGAAGTAAATCCTTGCAATAAAATTGACAAGCTCAATTGAAAAAAATGCTAACAACTACAATGAGCTATCTGAGATTGGTTGATCTATGTATATTTTTCTTTTAAATTTCTATTTAGAAATACACACAACATGAAGTAGACGATCGAAGAATTGAAGCTCTTCTGGTTATGGATTGAACACCCAACTCTTTATACATTGATTCAAAGCAAAAAATTAAGATTATCTTAGTCCAAAAGTTACTTTGAGACAAGCATGTCATCATTAAGTAACCTAATAGTCTGAGCAAGAGTTCGAAATTTTAACACAATCAATTGAACTACTCTGTACTTATCTTCCCATCTTTACATTTTTGCTCTCACGACATGATGGCCAGTTAATGTGTTACAATCCAATTTTACATCGTTGTTTCTGTCTTCTTTTCAAAGGGCACGAAGACAAGATCTCTACAGGGATTTCATATTTCCTCCACCCTATAGTCCCTAAAAGTAATGTAACCGAAAAAAGAAAAAAAATTCCCTGAAAATAATCACAAATTAAACAAGGTCCCCGGCCCCCTCCAAACCAATAGCAGAAGATTTTGTCTTGCCCTTGATTCTTGCTTTCAAACTTCTCCTAGAACCTCCATCAATATTTTCATAGCTCGCCAATTCGTGCGCACCAAGAGATCAACTCTATAAGCCTTCATTAGCAGGAGAACGTTTTGATTTCGATCATTAGAATTAATGCTCAAATATTGCTTTACCTTTCTGATCAAAGCCTGACAAAGAATAAGCTTAGTTCTGGTCCATTGTTTCCATCAGGATTCAACATATAATAGGTCTCTGAGTCTTTAGAACCTGCTACACGTTCAAAGAATGCCCGCATGTACGTTAATTCTCCATCTGCGGGCTGATCTGCTCCATCTCCTGTAGGAATTACACCAGCCCCCATTGAAATCACATGCAAGATTTGCATCACATTCAAATCGTCATCAGTTGGCTCTCTCTTGACCGCATAACCTGACTTTCTACCATTACAAAACAATGTCCATATCGGCTCATCTTCAATCTTGGTCTTATCATTGGGCTTCTTTTCGCATTCCAAGGCAATTCTAACAAGTCCCACTCCCATATCTTGAAGGAGTTTTCCTGTGGGAATTGTGAGTTCAAGCAATAAAATAGGTAAGGACCCAGGGCTCTCTTGGATAGCAAGGTTAACCCTAGCTTTCCGGTGCCCAAATAGGGTCCCGGTCATGCGGATGCCACCATGGAGATACCCGTCATGGAGGCGGTTTCCATGGAGAGAGACAGGGATCTTGCATGCCGGAGCAATGATAGGGAATGACCGGAAAACAGCCCGTACACGGCGGAAGATCTTATTGTGCTTTGACGAACCTTTCTTGCTGGTTGGTTGATGGAGGGAGATAGCAGGCCGGACCGGAGACATTGGGTTCATCGTTCCAGATGATGGGGTGGTTGGGGGTGATGGCAAGGTCGATGGCGGCTGGGACCGAGTCTGTACCGGTCTAAGAGAATATTGTGGAGTTGATGGTGGAGTCGTCATGTCGGAGGCTTGTTAGTCCTTGGTGGGCTGAATTTGGTAGGCTCAGTGGTTGTGCTGCATATATAAGACGATTAGAGTTGAGGCATGCACGTCCAACTAAGGTGGTTTGTTCTTGTTTTCACTACCTTCTTTAAGGAAGAAAAGAGACTTTCTTCATTTTTTTTTCTTTCTATATTACAACTGATCATTTATGGTTAAGAAGTTCCAGTTCTGTAATTACCCTAAAGATAGGCTGATAGTTGTAGTTTTTGGATCTACTGCTGGCTGGGTCTGGGAGCTTTCTTGTAGCCATTAAAATAGGCAAATTTTTAGTACAGTTCTATTAGTTAGTTAAACAGCTTGAAAACTTGCTACTTTTGCCAGCCAAATTATCAATGCACATATCCAATTGATTTGCTAATTTGCAATGATAACGTATCTAATTGTACGGTGAATTGGTAAAACTTCAACTGATCAGTTGATTTGATCAAATGCATCTACATGATTATACTTTAGTTGAGTAAATTATAAATTATTCCTTTTCATTTTGAGAAATGAATTAATTAATCTATTTTATTTTAAAAATTAATCATGTAATCCTCAAGTTTTAATTTTGTCAATAATTTAACTTTTACTTAAGTTTTTCGTTATAGTAATCAATGTGTCGTTACTAAAAGTATTTTTTGTTCTTCATTTGATATCTTATTTCTCTTCTTAATTCAGTTTTTTTCTTCTTCTCAACCATTTTTATCGTCATAATAAAATAAAAATTTATTTTTGATGTTATTTTTATGATTTTTAAATCTTTCATCTTTTTTTTCCTCTCTTCAGCTATCCTCATTGTCATAATAAAGTAAAAATTCATCTTTTATAGTATTTTTCATAATTCTTAACATTCTCTTTCTCTTGCTTCGACCATCTTCATCATTAGAATAAAACAAAACTTCATCTTTCATGCTATTTTCGTAGTTCTTAACTCTCGATAATATGAACCATAAAAGAGCATAACGGATATATTATAAGTACTTTGTGACCTTTAATCATCATCTTTCAACTCGATGGAAAGGAAAGTTTAAGTGTTATGTATTTAATTTGATGGATCTGGAAAGAATTTAATATTGAAAGACTCAATTATTTATTTTTAAAACCAAGTAAACTCGATTAATTTATTTCTTGAAATAGAAGAGACTAATTATAATTTAGCTACCCCAATCTACAAAAAGGTATATATATATAAAAGCATGCTAGAGTGAGAGGTTAGTTAAGTTATAATTAACTCTCATTTCTTCTTAATTTCACTTTTTTTTTCTTTTTGTCTTTTTGGGTACACAGGTCCCTACTCTTTTTTAGTAAATTATAAATGAGTCCATATGGTTTTACAAAATGAATTAAATAGTCCCTCTAGTTTAAAAAATAATTAATTAATCTATTTCCTCCATTTCATATGCTTTTTCAATTTTTTAAGGAAATGGAAAAAAGGAGATATAAATAAATAGTAAGAAAATATTTATGAGAAAAAATGATATTTTTAAAATTAAGTAATATTAAATTAAGTACAATCAATACAAATAAAAAAACTAACTAATTAATTTTTAAAATTAAAAAGACTATTTAATTTATTTTATAAAACTAGAAGAACTAATTTATAATTTACTCACCCCTTTTCAATGGCACTATTGCCAATATTAATCCATCTTAGAACCACGGCGTCTTGAAGACGTGAAAAAAATGTTTGTGAAGTGGACAACGGTATCTTGAAGATTTTGTTGTTTGTGAATATGCACTTAAATGATTAATTAATTATGTTTATTAATTAAGGATGTTTTGTACATTTATTTTTATTAATCTTGCGCCGGCGCAGACATGCACGGCATAAAAAAAGAGTGACTGGCATGAAAAAAGCAGTGTTCATTATTATCCACAGTGTTGCTATCTATTCTAGGTGACAAATTGCCTTTAAAATTAAAATAACTAGTAGTAAACGAATTAGTTTTCGAATAAACTTTTTGTAAATATATAAAATTTGAATTCTAAAATCGTTTTGTATTTGTTAAGAGTAGTTAAATTTTATTGTTTTTATTCTAAATAAAATTAATTATATTTTCAACGTAGGATGAAAATACCTTAAGAAAAAAAAGGTCTGTGAAAAGAAGATTTTGATATTACTGTTTGTTGTATTTTCAATAGATTTCGAGTTTGAAAATTTATTTTATAATTAATTAAAAAAAACTTACCAAAATTATTGCTGATCTCTATAAACCAAAACTGACCTAAAATCATCATAGTGGTTAAAACCATATATATATGTATATGTTCTATACTCTAAAGTGGAATTTTACCTTATAAATTCTATTTTTTTGGAAGTCCAAAACAAATGTTTTAGAGTAATTTCTTAATTTTGTGACAGTGGCCAAGTCAGTTTTTATTGTGTTAGTACATTCTTACTATCATAGTAATACTATTTGTGAGTGGAAAATATAGGATTCTATTTATGAAAAACAAAATGTCATTACATGTGGCAATTACATTTACAAAAACAATAATTAATAGTGTATCTATAATGGATACATCATTTAGTAAACAAATGTTTAAAAGTTTAAATTCGTTTTACTTGTAAAAAATTTTCATTTTCCTAGAAAACATAAAACAATGTAAAACAGGATCATACTATTTTATGTTTCCATTTTTTCCAAAAGATTACAAAATTGTTTTCTCCTAAACTAGAAAAAGCTTCTATATGTATCTATAGTTGACCCCTTTAGCAGCAAAACGTTTTTTTGTTTTTTGCAGTTGACCCTCTAGTTGACAATTGCACTAATGTCACTATCAGAAAAATAAAAAAGTCGAAGAAATTTAAAATGTAGAGGGAAAAAAAAAGGAATTTCCTTGAGGAAAAAAGCGTTTGAATTTTCTATTTATTTCTTATTGATTTCCTGAGTCGAGAGAGAGGGGGGGGGGGGGGGTGGGCGCGGGGACGAGGAGGGTTCTGGCCGTCTATCAAGTAGACTTTTTGATCCTGATGCTTGACAGTCAACTTTAGCAAATTAGGTGAAGATTCAGTGCAATGAATCTTAAGGTCTTGTAATTTTGATGTCATAGATTGATCCATTCAATTATGTGAACAACAAATATTTTCTCTCATATGTATGTATGTATGTATGTAAACAAAAAGTCTTTGGCTTTGGTATCTAATGTAAATTATAATTTGGGTTTGACTTTCGTACAATTTGAATTTTTTTTATTAAAATCTAAGTTTTTTTCTGTTTAACATAAGGATTATATTGTTATTGTTTCATATTCTAATATACTACCTAAATACATGTGGCAAACTCTATCCCGTAATAAATTATCACGTGTTATGGTAGGGTCAAATTAGATTTTAATGAAAATAAAATAAAAATTTATTTATTTTAAATAACTAAAAAAAAATAAATCTAAAAATAAGTTACAAAATTACAATTCAATCTTATCAATTACAACTAAAAATCCACTTCTCTCTCCTATTCATTTCATTTTTTTTCTCTTTCCTCCTTTTTTGATTTGCAATCAAAAGTAATAATTTCTATTTTTCGAATTTCAAACCTTCATACCCAATCTCTAATTTTTCAATTATAAACCTTAATCCTCATTTCCTTCTTAACCTTTCCTCTCCTTTTCTCTCGTGTTGTTCCATTAAGTAACGCAATTCCGTGTGTTCGGCTAGCCAAATCCTTTAATTTTATGAACTATCTAGCTTAAGTTTCGAGTTTTTCAATGCTTGTGTCAAGAAACCAACACAACTTCAACTTTCGAGTAGGGAATAAAAGCCCCAAAACTAGCTTAGTATCAACAGTCAAAGATTAGTCTAAGATTTTCGATCTAAGATACTTGAGAATCTAAATAACAATAATAATAATGCATGTAATTAACGGTAAAAAAACAAATACAAAAACTTCTAAAAACAAGGTTTGAAAGCCAATCGTAAATTTTTATGTTTTCGAAAATCAAAAACCAAAATGAACAAGTTTTCATGTTTTATTTTAAAAAATATAAGGAGAAACAGACAAAAATATTAAAAGAAAGAAAATACATGTATTACTAAATCGTATTTAGCGAGTTTTAAAACTTGAAAAATGAAGCTAGTTGGTTAATCAAAGGCTCTTAACTTCTAAATCTTCAATATTGATGGGCAAATTGAAAAAACAATCTTTCGAATCACACCCATAATTTTAAATTGTGATCATACTTGTAACAACCGTAGTTTTAAATCGTGATAACACTTATAAAATCGATAACAACCATAATTTTAAATTGTGATTACATTTAAACTAACTATATATAGTTTTAAATCGGAATCGCACTTGTAACAACTATAGTTTTAAATCGTGATGACATTTGTAAAAATGATCACACCCATAATTTTAAATTGTGATTGCGTTTGTAACCACTATAATTTTAAACGTGAGGGTACTTGTAAAACCAATCTTTAGATCGTACTTTATCATAACATTAAACTAACAATCACAATAATCAATATGATAAATACATTAACAACTATTAATAAATTTACTCTAATTTCTAAAGCAAGAAGTTGTTTTTTGAGAGCATGATAAAAGTCCTTATTCATCAAATAAAGACAATACCGTTATTTGTGTGAAATCGAAATTATGCAAATAAAACAACCTATGAACTATCCCTAATCATTCAAGAAAAGCACGCCTTTGTATCAATTTTGCCTTATCCACGATGCCCGTGAACCGTCCCTAATCATTCAAGGAACGAAAATCACCAAAAAAAACACCGGGGAAACATTAAGGAGGAAATGAGAATTAGGGTTTATAATTGAAAAATTGAGGATTGGTATAAGGATTTAAAATTTGAGAATCGGGGATTGTCACTTTTGAGTGCGGAGCGAAGGAGCTAGGGGGAAAAAAACTGAAATGAATAGGAGAGAAGGAGATTTTTAGTTTTAGTGGGTAAGGATTGAATTTTATTTTTCTAACCTATTTTTAGGTTTATTATTTGTTTATTTATTTAAAATAAATCATAAAAAAATTTATTTTCCTTAAAATTCAATTTGGGCTACTATGATATGTGACAAACTCGTCATTAGCTAGAGCTTATCATGTATATTTACGTGGCACAATAGAGTTTGAAACAACAATATAAAAATACAACACTTACATTAGAAAAAAAATAAAAATTAGGGTCTCAATTAAAAGAATTTGAATTATACAATGTCTCGATATATATAAGACCCATTATAATTTAGTTCATGTTTCTTAGATAAACGAATTAATTAGTCTCTTTGATTTCAAAAATTAATTATTTAATTAATTTTTTTTTAAATCGTTTTGCAAAATACAACGTTATATATATATTCAGTATTTTATTTAATTTCTATATATGTATAATTTATATCTTGTGAGTCCGTTTAAATCAAAAATTAAGACATGACATTTGTAATGTGATGGCCACCCGATAGATTTTTTTTTTTAATGATAATAAAAAATTGAAATTATCTTTATTACTATTCTATAGAACCAGCTTCTTTATATTTTCACCTTGTAAGTCTCCTCAATTCAATTCTTTCCAAATCATTTTACCCTTTTCATCGGTCGTGGTTTTAGCTAAACATTTCTATCTTAAGTCGCTAATTTAATTCGGGGCCCAATTTGGTATTACATTTTTCCTTCCTACCTCTAGTTAGTTTTTTATTTATTTATTTTTAATGACAACTTGTTTGAGGATAATGCACTTAAACTCATTTCGAGAGTTGGATCACCCAACCTAAGCTCGAATGGTTTAGATCGAGCTCGGCCCTATAACCGGCTCGACCTTTAAATGTCTTAGACCCACCCCGACCCCCAAACACTTTCGGTTCTAGAGCCGGATGCATCGCATTGGTTTTGATACCTTCGGGAATATCACGACCAAGCCGACCAACCGAGCCGCAACTAGCTCGACTTTTGGCTCACCGAGTGATGGTGGTCATGAAAGCTATCATCAACTATTTGATTAATAATGCATGTAATTAATTCAAGAGAGTTTACTTGAGTGAAAACAACTCTAGCCGTTTCAAGTAAATGGTCTCGAGTTTTAAGGTTTTGTATATGTAGAAAACCTTTTAAGTAGCTATTCTCTCTTTATGCGCTCGATCTAACAATCAAATATTAGTCTAAGATTTTCGATCTAAGATACCCGAGAATCAAAATAACAATAATAATAATGCATGTAATTAACGAGTAAAAAAACAAATACAAAAACTTCTAAAAGCAAGATTTTGAAAACCAACCGTAAATTTTTATGTTTTCAAAAATAAAAAACCAAAATGAACAAGTTTTCATGGTTTATTTTTAAAAAATATAAAGAGAAACGAGACAAAAATATTAAAATAAAGAAATTACAAGTATTACTAAATCATATTTAGCAGTTTTAAAACTTGAAAAATGAAGCTAGTTGGTTAATGAAAGGCTCTTAACTTCTAAACCTTCAATATTGATGGGCAAATTGAAAAAACAACCTTTCGAATCACACCCATAATTTTAAATTGTGATCATACTTGTAACAACTGTAGTTTTAAATCGTGATAACACTTATAAAATCGATGACACCCATAATTTTAAATTGTGATTACATTTGTACTAACTATATATAGTTTTAAATTGGAATCGCACTTGTAACAATTATAGTTTTAAATCGTGATGACATTTATAAAAATAATCACATCCATAATTTTAAATTGTGATTGCGTTTGTAACCACTATAATTTTAAACATGAGGGTACTTGTAAAACCAATCTTTAGATCGTACTTTATCATAACATTAAAATAACGATAACAATAATCAATATGATAAATACATTAACAACTATTAATAAATTTACTCTAATTTCTAAAGCAAGAAGTTGTTTTTTTAGAGCATGATAAAAGTCCTTATTCATCAAATAAAGACAATACCGTTATTTGTGTGAAATCAAAATTATGCAAATAAAACAACCTCGATCACTGTGTGAATCGAAATTATTTCCATTACTTGTGTTATGCAAGTAAAATAACCTTGACCGATTTTGTAAAATAACGATAGTTAGATTGTGTAAACTATGACCACAACTCAACAAAATTTCTCCAAGCATACACAAAGGTCTCAAAGTAGCTCTCAAATGGCACCTCTGAGGCTTGAAACAGCAATGCGTGCTCAATCACCCCACTGTTGCTGGGTTTGAGTTGGCAAAAAGACAAATCGGCATTCACATCATCCAATAAAATGGATGGACAAGTGTCAAAAATGTCCGGTTATGCTAAATTTAGATAAACATAAGAATAACAAATGCATTAGCTTCTGTGTCAAAGGTTACTTGATTGATCTGTATATGCACCTACCAAAACTGAGCTGAGTGGATGCAGCAAGTTATCCGACCTAGCACCTAACATACATACTAATGATACATAAATCCCTGACATACAAACAAGTAGAACACCCCTACAGAATTTTTCAAGCTTTTTCGCTGAATACAATACTTATTCTATATATGTTTGCCTGGATTTGATCTTATCTGTGGATATATCCCTAACCAAGGATAGGAACCTCAGCATCACCTAGGAAACTTGGATAGAAAGGGTGATCGTGGCCATCTGGTTGATTCCAGCTGCTATTTAGGGGTTTAGTTTCTCCAGCAATTCCTTCATCGGAACTTACTGTTGCTGAGACAGGAAAATTTTGCATATTTAGGTCCATCTTACTGAACATAAGGTTTGCGATGGTTCTGTCAATGGTGTTAGTCTCCATTTCGATTGTTGTCTTCCCTCCAGACCTGAATATGAAGCTTACTTGTTATCAAGATAGCTCAAGTATCAATGCCATATATAAGTTCAGATGCCTTGAAGTAAATTGAACTCAACAGATGCTTGATCACCAAATGCCACTTTGCATTTGTTTTTGTTTGCAGAGGTTAACATGGAAGTTGTCACTTTATGTTATTACTTCCAGATGCTAATAGTGAATCTTAATCGATATGAGAGCAACATGGAAGTATTATAGGTGCAAGATAGACAATGTCAACCATATACCAAAAAGTTTGGGGCTGTTACCAGACAGCCATACATAGGTATAACAAAATTTCAGATCAGTTGGAGACTGAGGTCAGGAAGATCCAGAGAAAAGAACTCCGGTCATCAACTTATTTCCAGAGATACTTTTATTTCTATGGCCAATGCTCGACAACAATCAGCTTATGAGAACAATCTTTAAATACCATGGCCCTAAATTCTAGTGAGATGAGCATTCTAATTAAACAAGTGAGATTAAACATAAGAAAATTATACGCATATAGTAAACATTGTGCAGGTACCTCATTTTCTCATCTTCACCGGAACACAGTGTTTCAATGCAAACGTCTCCTTTTTGGTTCGGTTCTACTATATGTTGCTTTGAATAGTTGGCTAGACGGTATAAGGCATCACGAAAGCAAATCCTAGTCTTATCATTTAACTGAAAAGATTCAAACATAAAAAATCATTAGGATCTGGTTTTGCTTATTAAAAATGGAGCTCTTAGGATGTTCTGTTATACCTGGGCCATCACCGTTTCTAGCTCCTTTAGCACAGATTTCTGAAGAGATGTTTCCTCATCCAGAAGTCCAATTGTACCATCATGCTCGGAAGGGACGGAGACATTGACCCGTGATGCCTTGAAAAAACATTACCATGATTAATTGACCTCGCAAGTCCCACAAACTACAAATCTTCACTGAAAACCAGTATGGCAGGCAACATAATCTTAGCATAGGCATCTGTCTCTACATTTCTCTGTACTCTCTCCCTGTTCCTCACATGCAGTATGTGCATCATAAACGAATACAAAATGCAAAATAAGCTCTACTATTATCCAGAAACTAACAACCAACATGTAAGATTCTTAATTTCTACTGACAAAGCATGAAGAAAAGAACCCAGATTACATCCGAAAAAGTTTTCAGAAATTCAACCCAATGTTCAATGACATGGGTGTTTGGAGTTATCGTAGGCTATGTATGTTTCAAGAAAGGAATTCCTTCAAGAAAATATAATCCAAGAGTCTACAAATATAGCTAGTATCCTAGTAACTTCATATGAGCAGGCAATACATGATGAAATAAATGTTGACTTACACACAAAAATTGATGAAATAAAATTTCCAATAGAATATAGAAAGCATGCTATGGTAAATACCAATGAGTTTTTATATCACAAGTAGCTGAGATAAGTCTCATCTAATGCACATAATTTGCAGGTGATTTTATCTGATTTTCATGTCTAGAAGCACTGGTGTGACAACAAACAACAACAACAACATCAAAATCTAGGTCAGGTCTAAACCACAGGGCTGGAGCCTAATTCCACGTACATGTGGTGTTTTGATGGTGTTCCATATAAAAATGTCGATGATGGGTGCATGAAATTAGATTCCACCCTTGTGGATTTAGAGGCACCCTATGTTCATGATACAACAAACAAATTTTCTACAGAGCTGAATTCTATGTATTGCCGAAGACAAGAGAGTAAAAGAAGTTATTCTCATGATTAAAATGGATATCTTCATAAACAAGAAATTAAAGAACCTAGTCAGTATTATTTTTAAGATGGGCGAAGGAAGAGGGAAAAAAATAGAAAACTTTCTAAATCCAAATCAAGGGAGTCATAAGAGATGAGGGATTAAATTGTGCATATGTATGTCTCGTAGGAAAAAATGTGCATATGCATGTATATGGTATACCTACAATTAAACCCTCTCTTCATCCAAGACACAAGTGCAGGCAACAGAACTTAAATTAACAGGGCTAGGGCCTTTTGAAGCCTTTTTCAAAGATTTAGTATGAACCATGAATTTCATTATGGGAAATTTGTGAAAAAGATATGGTCAATCATTGATTTAAGGTAATAAAGAGATGGAAAATCTCACCTTTACGGGTGCCCAATCCTCTTGGTCTGAGTCGCATGCATTAAAGTGTGAAGCAGCAACTCCACCTTCCTCCCAACTTACTGATGGAGAAAATGCATGTGTTTTGAGATACTCTGAGCTTCCCATGCCATGTCCATCATTTGAAATACTTTGCAAATCTGAAATCGTGTCTGTCGAGGGATTGTCCGCAGACACCATACCACATTCTGCTTCAGGAGAAAAGCAAAACGAGTTCTGAAGATTTCCATTCCTGGGTAGATCTTCGAGAAAGGAACTCCTGCAACAAATGGAATGAGAAAAGATTAATGCTGATTAACAAGGAAGCTTCGTCAATTGATTGAACACACAACTACATGTAGGGAGATATTGGGCACCCCACGGATATTGAAGGGCTTTATTATGTCACATGTAGCGCTGCAGGGGCGAGAGATTGCCATATAATGAAGGTGGCACAACGATAGGTGCCATCACCACAATAACTGGTATAATTCACTTGTAGGAACTATGAATTCTAACCATTTTGTCATGATGGATAATAGTTTAACTCGCAAAAATAAGGGAGCATTCTATTTCCATGGGGTGTCCAAGCATGCTGCTAATCGATATGACAAGCTAAAGCACATCTGATCCTACATGATTTCCTACAAGCAGTAAATTAATCCCAGAAGTTACGCTTGTACAGGAAAATTTCATCCAATTGTTCGATTTCTGCAAGATCGTCAAGCTGGTAATCTGGCTGGTCACGTGAAAGAGCAGTCTGGGGAAGGGACTCCTCTGACAATCCTCCACTTGTGCATGAACCCCTAGACTGATTTTTACCGTTGTAGAAACTTTCAACTTCGTTTCTCAAAATTTCACCATTGAATTTGAGATCTCCCTCAGTCATTTTAGAATCCATTTTAGAAAACTCTTGACTTTCTGATGCACTTGTACACCATTTCGACCAACTCTCTGGTGATGGAAGCCTATCATATAATTCTTGATCCTTGGGGACCACAAAATCATCAATACCGCTTCCAGAATACCATTCCATGATATTTTATCTGCAGAAGAAAAGAAAAGAAAAAAAAATCCCCTTGGTCAAAAGAAGTATATCACAAAGATCAAGAAACATCTAATAGAAGTACAAAAGCCAAGCAATACAAACAATTCATATCTAATTCAATATCAAAGTAAACACCTTATTCTGTTACTAGTAGCTGCTGAGGCATCCAATATTTTTGAACAAAGTTACAATTGCCAAAAACTTGTTTTCCTACAACACAGGCCTGAATCTATAACTTCATCGGTTAAGTGGAGCTACAGGCTCCACTTTAAAAGTACAAATAAACAAGTGAACTGCAAAAGATGGTTTTGATTGTTTCAGTTCTTTTCCTTTTCTCACCAACCAAAAAGTTATAAATATATAGAATATCAACTATCATAATTTATCAATCAAAACAGAACAACCAAAGACTATATACATAGCCTAAAAATCAACCAAAGGCCTCAAAAAAAAAAAAAAAACAAAAACAAAAACAAAACAAACAAACAAATCATAATCCACGAAGAGGCTTGAAGTAATTCTCCTAAAGAATTCAAATTTCAAATCATGGTGTAAAAATCATAAAAATAAACAATCAAACCGCAAAACAAAGAGTAAAATTGTGAAAATCAACCAAAAGTAACCACACACACATATGCATCATAACATATCATATCTTACCAGCCAAAGATTAAGACTTTGACACCAAAAAAAAAAAAAAAACCATCTAAATATAAACAGTAAGAATCAAAGAATAAAGAAGAAGAAAAACCTTGTGGTGGGTAGGTGGTGGATTTTGCTTAAGAGAAAGACCAAGACCCAGTTGTTAATATAGAGAGATTAAGCAACCAAGAAGATAAGAACTGATAAAAAAGATGCAAACTTTGATGGAGGTTTTTGTTGCCTTGTAAAAAGTTCAGTGCTTTCTTTAGCTGTAAAACAGAGGCGGCCTTGGCTATCCCTTGCAGAACCTTATTGTTATGTAGTTTGAAGAGTAGAGAGAGACTCAAAGTGAAGGAAACTGGTATAGAGAGAGAAAGTTATTAGTGGCTAGGAAATGAGGTTGAGATTAGTGGTTGTGAGCCTCCATCAAAATCTTCAATCTCATTGGTCCACGTATCAGAATCTGGACCCACCAAATTAGAAATCATGGTCCTGAGTAAAGCAAGATCATTTAAAGACTTTTCCTTTCTCCAGCAAAAAATAATAGAATACCCTTCTTTTCCTGATAAAAATCCAAATCTCTATCCGCAATCGCCCACGTGACTAGTATGGTAATTTGGTAGACGCATAGGGGTGCTGTGTGGGTCCCATGTATCCCCTCTCCCGCAGATGGGTTGTATGGAAGACACATGGCAACATGCAATGTTTGAAGCTTGACACGTGGCACGTGGCAGGGAATCTAGGACAGAGTTAGTTGCAAGATAAGGGCAACCAAAGGAAGCAGCCAAAAAAAGTGCCGATTTGGTTTATTTGGGGTTGCGGGTGAACTACCTTCGCTAGTAGCACACGCCCACGAGAAGATGAGAAGAACCACACAGTTTCTGCTTATTTGTGGTACGAAAATTAAGACAGCCTTTGGGGACTCCAATGATGCAATTCTTTACCAGGTTGTCGTTAGAAAGATTGGGATTGGACCGAACTGGCGCCGGCAAGTACCCATTGCCTTTGGAAAGATTATTTCCCAAAATCCAATCTTCATTTATTGAGCTGAATTTCGAGCGTTGATCCTGAGATCGCCAAATTGTCACGCTATGGATTGTAGGATTCCTGATCTTTGTTTCTCAGAATTTAGCCCTGAGGGTATGAATTTTATTGCCTAAGAAAAGAATACAAAAATACCTCATTGGGCCAAATCCTCAAGTTAACTACTTTGACGATTCATATTAATTCAATTTCACAATTTAAAAGTCATACTTTAATTAAAAAAATATATAATTTTACTGTATTATCTTACATGTAAGTTGTTGATTTAATATCAAAAGAATTAATTTTTAGACAAATCTTCTATTAATACATGAAATTCAAATTTTAAAATTATATTTATTAAAAAAATTAAAATTTATTGTTTTAATTTCAAATAAAATAAGTATTATTTTTAATATAAAATAAAAATACTTGAAAAAAATCTGAATTATAAAATTAAGTACCATATAAAATCTTGGCAAAAAAATCTCTCAAACAAGCCAGACCTACAGCTACAAGCTGGATGATGTAATTATAGGAAAAAGGGGTATAAAGGAAAAAAAGGCACCGTATCAATCAGATCATATCCGATCTCTATAGTCCACATGAAATTCAAGGGCTTGACATCAACGACACCGCAAAGCTTGTCTTTATCTGGAAAGAAAGAAACAGATTTCGAGTTTAATAAGTTATTCATAAACAAAACCATATCCAAATTTAAAGCAAAACACATGGATAAACAGCACATCATCGCTCTCTCTATTCCTTACTGTCCACTCAAAATTAAGAGAACATGGTGGGATTGTCAAGTCGATACTGCCCTTTTTTTGTCCTCATCGTGAAAACGGATGCCGTTAAGGGCTGTACGAATCATCGTAAACTGTCACCATGTCTAAATTTATAGATTTATCTATTAATAACTAAATTTTATTTATAAATCAGATTTAAAATTTAATGGTCATGATTGATATTTTTAAGAATTTATTCTTGAAATATCACATATTTTAAATTAAAAAATATCTTTTTACAATTTCACCAAAAACTACATAGAATTTAATATAAGTAAAAGCGAGCTAACTTAATTGATAACTGTTTCATTTATGTTTGCTTTCATTTATTTTTTATTTTTTCTGTATTGATTGACTTTTTTATTTTTTTATTTTGTTCGATAAGAATCTTTCTGTCATAACCACATGAGATTATACGCTTATTGGGTAACTTTTTATTAAAATAATTCTTTCATTTATAAAATTATATAATTAAATAAAAAACAAAAAATAAACACGTAAAAAATAATTTACTTTAATTAACCAGGTTTATTTAATAATTAATTTACTTTTCTTTGATTATTTAATCTTCACCTCAAACGAAAAAAATTTTAAAACCGAAGAATTATTGAATTATGAATAGTTAAGAATTCAACTCGTTATTATAACAAAAATACAATATTTAGATATATAAACTAACCACGGGTAAACAAAATAACCCATTCGATACAAAATAATAATAAAAAAAAATAAATGAATTTAATTAATACGAAAAGAGTAAGAGATTCTAATAAAAATTTGAAAAAAAAAGGTACAAAAAACAAATCTTCGAAATAAAAGATATTGATAAGTTTGAATCTAAACCTCCCCTTTCTTTCATAAGAAAGAAGACAATCCTCATCTCTATGATTATTACTTTTATTTCATACAAGTACTTGTAAATTAGGAAAACAAGTATAATTATTTTTTTTATCACAGAAATCTTTCGAAATGGATATCTTTATCAAGTCGAGAGATTATCGCATGACTCTAGCTTAGCATGAGCCATAGTCATAAAGTTGTAGGTCCTACAACCATTTTATAGTGAATCTCACATGATCGAGTGACACATGGATCGCCTAGAATTTTCTCAAAATCAAGCCTACGATTTTCGAATTCACTTAAAAATCTAAGTTTTTATTTATTTATTTTGCAAATTTTAAAATATAAGATTTAATATTTAAAATCACCGATTGAAACTTCTAGGGGCATTAATGGGAAGTAGGACTTTTATACATGAATATAAGGCCCATATATAAAACCCAAGCCATCCCATAAGAGAGCCCAACAAAAGCCCATGACGACCAAGATGACGATGAAACCAAACGCTGATTCTGAAAAAGGATAACATTTTACCAAACCAAAAAAATATCTTGAATCAAAACTAGCCATACGCAATAATCTCTTTCTTTCTTTCTTTCTTTCTTTGTTTTTTTTTTCCAACAAAAAAAAATTCAAACTCAAGAACTTTTACGAAAAAAGAAGATATTATACAAGTTGGGGGTGCACAATATTGGTCATCCCCAAAGTGATATATGTTTTGTACACCACACAATCAAACCATGTTTTGTACACCACATAATCAAATAGGGTATTGCTAAATCTATCAAATATTTTGTTATTCTCATCAATTTTTTTATTGTAAATTACCAACACACCACCACACATCAAGTTAGTGACTAGATAGTAATTAGATCTAAGGGTTTGTTAGTAATTTAAAATAAAAACTTGATGGGAATAACAAAACACATAATGGATTTAGTAATACCCAATCAAATAACATCAATATTTTGGGGAAATAAATCAGCATATCTTTAAGCATTAGAGAAAGTTTTTAATATATCCTTATATGCTCAATTGGGCTAATTTTTATTTTTATAGAATAACTAAGTTTCCAGTTTATTTTGCGTTAATTTTTTTGTTCAAATTAACATAATTAGTATTACGTATAATTTAACGCTTGAGTTCTATTCACATATTAATCATGTGAAAAACACATGACAAATAAAAAAATTCACACAAGATTAGACCTTTTCTTCTCTTCAAAACCTTCCTCTCTTTCACTCTCTTTCTCTAACGATCCTCCTCCTCTCCTATCGAAATTATCATTTTCGATGCCACATTAGATCATGTATGTAATAACTTATATTATTTGAATGTAAAAAATTAACAACATAATAAATTAAAAATTCTATTATTTTATAAAAATAAAATTTACTCAAATAAACGATAATATTCCAACATTTTTCCTTAAACCAAACTCTTCTAAAATGACACAAATATATATAAATACGGATAAATTTCCTTGCTGCAAGGATCCCTATAAGTAGTCGAAATGAACTCAAAAAAGAAAGAAGCAAAACATTACATGATAAAAAAGGCATCATCATGCTATCCAAAGAATAAAAAAAGTTAATTTCGGAATCCCGATTTAGCACCTATAACCGTAAAGCATTCTCCAAACAAAACATCTTTCATGGAAACAAAGCTCGGAGTAAAGAGAAAAGCTTTGAAGTAGGATAGATCATATCACCAATCTCTAATTTTCTTGATTTTTGGTCCTTGGATCATATGAAAAAAGAGTATCCAAACCAATCGACATCAAAATACTCCCATCATCATTATTGTAATTGGTCTAAGTAATACCGAACAATGAAATTGTTTTGTACCAACATAACGTTTTGTCTAAGATTCCTCGACTCCATTTTCTTTAGTCAACCATATGCCTAATTCTTCCAAACATCTATTTTTACGACCATACAAACAAAGAAAATCCGTTAACACTCCGAAAGACATGTTAGTATTCTTGTCTATTAATTTAGGAATTGCAAATATAGTATAGGTTTGTTACCTCTCTATGTCAAAAGAGATTATATGTTGAGAGGGTTTAAATTTTATCGTTTTTGTATCGAATAAAATTAATTTTCTCTCGATGTGGAAAGAAAATACTCGAAAAAAAAATTAAAAAAAAAACTATGTGCTTGCGATGCTCACTTTTAAACCAATATAGAGCTCCATTTACGTAAATTGGCAACTCCTCCCCAAATTTCACACGGATCGGGAAGATGATCAATGTTTCTCCAAGAATTACTCCACGTGTTAGAATCAAGCCTTATGAATATAGGTTATGAGGATAATACCATCTTTTGAGTATTAATATATGGTATTGAATGTTCTTTAAGCTATAAGAAATTATCCTTGTATCATGTAAAAACCTCTCTTTATCTTCTTCGGACGAGAAAATTTGAATATACTCCTTTTATAGTTTTAAATAACAATCGTGATTGAAAAAACGATCATGATTGCAATCGTGGATTATAACTTATCATAGTATTAAAATAATGATCACAACAATCAATGTCGTGAATACATTAGTAGTGTATGTATTTAAGTAAATATTTTGTATATCAATATTTAAATCACAATATAAAGAAGAATTCTTAAGACAAATAATTTCAATAGTGTCTATTCTTGAAAACTCTAACTCGTATTGAATTGCTTTCAAACACATCAATATTCCTAAAGATTAGACCCTAGCCACCTTTCTAGTGGTGGCAAATCTTTTAAGAAAACGAACTTAAGGGTTTTGAATAACAAAAGAACTCAAGAAATTAAATCTTGGTCACAACCAATTGTATTAAGAGTCGGATGTTTGACCATACGTAAGGAACGAGACTTCTACCACAAAGACCTGAATAAAATAATAATAATAATAATAAATAACACTTACCATGATGATAATACCTCCAATGTGGGATGGTAATGACCTGAATTGTCAACAAAATAAATCTAGAAATAAAATTAATCATATCTCTAATATATATAAGGTGAACCATTAGCACTTACCGTGATGTCATACAAGTAGATCAACTTCTTTGGTGTAGGGGCAGGAGAAAAATAATTAGTGAAAAGCAAGAGGGTGGACTTGGAGGGTACCTTGGAAAAGCGTAGTTGAGCGAAATAAGGACTTGAAAGCAAGTCATGCCATGATTTGTTAAGGCACTTGCAGTGAATGATGGCCTTGAATGGAAGTTTGGAAATTATATATGTTGATGATGATATCGGTTGGCAAAAACAGATCTCCATTGTATTTGTATTTTTCTCTCTTGTAACCTGGATCTATACCTCTTCATCATCATGATATTATTAGTAATATAGTTTTCTAAAGAGAGAGAGACCGGCATGAATGAAGGGCAAGGTATTGAAGTTGAAAGGAGTGACCAAATTATACAAAGGATTGGGCAATAGACTTAGATTTACAATTTAACCTAGCTTGTATCTTTTTTATTTCCAATTTTTACGTTTGATTTGTACACAGCCTTATCATAAAATCAAATATAAAATATAAAAAAACAATAGGTCTTTGAGCGCTTATATAATTTCTTGAAGGTCTTTCAAGCTTCACTTAAGTTCATATCTAGAGGTGCTCGCTATTCGCTTTTAGCTGAAAAACCAAATCGAACTACAATATCAATTTCAGTTCATATTCTTTTTTGTAAAATTTAAAAAATAAAAATTGAATCGAAATTTTTTTTTTGTTCGATTTGGTTTTTAATTTCCCGAGTTCGATGAAATCAAAAAACCGAATTATTTTTTTTACTATATATATATATTTTGAAGAGAGAACAACCATCTCCTCTTCCTCCTCCTTGAGTAATTATATAATAGTAACAAAGTCTTGCGATCATCTATATAAATGTTCAAATAGAATCATCTATATAAATTCATTCTTTATTTCATCCCAATTAAAAAAAAAAACAATAGAGAAATGCATAAAAATTTAACTTAGGCATTTATATTTCAAACTTGATTTTATAAATATGTTCAAATTCTAAATCTTTAACCTTAGGACCATAGCTACTTAGGGAAAATGAGATTTTGTGTCAAATATTAATAATTCAAAATAATAATCTTTTTTTATAGATTTTTTCAAAAAAAGGGAAAAAACTGACTAATAAAAAATCAAAATCAAAATTTTGATTTTTTAACCGAAATACTAAATAACATCTCTATTCGATTTTAATTTTTTTTTAAATTCGATGACCCAAAAATTGGTCAAAATATTTTGAAAGCGAAACCAAAAACTGAACCGCCATTCCATGTCGACCCATAGACGGATCTCTACAGAGCAAAAAATTAGCCCACAGTAACACTAATAACCTAATCAAAACTGAGGGAAGGAAAAGAAAAGAAAAAGGTAAAGGAGGACCGAGTAACTTATAAATTAGTCCTTCTATTTTAGAGATGAATATATTAGTCTCCTTATTTAAAACAATAATTATTAAATGTTTTAACTTGATTGTGATTAATTTAATATTATTTTATTTCATAAAATTTAATCTCTTCTTATCAATTTTTTTATATGTTTTAATTATTATATTTCGTTTTTTCTATTGCTTAAAAATCAAAATAAATTGAAAAGATCAGAAAAAATTGAGTTGGAAGAAAATTCAAAACTGTAGGGATTAAATAATTAGTGTTGAAACAATAGAGACTAATTAATTTATTTTTCAAAACTAGATGGGCTAGGTTTGTAATTTACTCAGAAGAGTCTTCAAAGGTCGAGTCTTTCACGGAAGCAAAACCTGGAATTTTCTAGTGCCTCGGCTAAATAATTTTCCTAAGAAACAAACAGGTTGGTGCCTACTTATTACCTTTTGTTTCATGATCATCTAACTCTAGGGCAGCTGTATAGCCTGTATGTTGTTGGATTTGAGTTACTTTTATAGTTTCAATAGTTTTTAAAGCTTAAAACCTGGTAGGGTTTCTTCTTCTTCTTTTTTTCCAATCCAAAAAACCCACGCTTTGTTTCATTATTGTTAGCAAGGTACTAAATTCATGAGTTATTTATTTCGTTGGTTTTGATATTCTATTGCAGGTTGAGTTTGTCCTGTGATTTGTTGAAGATGTTTAAGAACACGTTTCAGTCTGGTTTCTTGTCAATCTTATACAGTCTTGGGTATGTTTAGATGTCGGTTTTAAGCACTTTGTTATTATATGTGTGATCGACGTTGGATTCGTGGATATGGATATTAATGTTATGTGCTGAATCTGTGTTTATTGGATTTTTGTAGGACCAAACCTCTGCAGATATGGGATAAAGAAGGTGAGTAGCAGTATTTATTGTTGATGGTGTTGTGAATTGTATCTTGTTTAGCTACTTTTGGTTTAGGTGTTAGTATAAGATAGAGCTCATTTGGCAATTGTGCTTTCTTTGTTTTGGAGGGCCATCACTTATAGCTCCTTCAACTGTTGGAAATTGTACGCGATCTTTGTTTCTTTGGGACCCAAAAAGACTGGTCATTTATTGTAGATATAAATTAGTGAGAAATGGTATTGATACATAAGTCAATTTACATTCTCTTTGGCTCTATGTTCTAGGGCAAGCTGCTTATATACTATGGCAGTGAGAGACATTTGTTAACAGCAACACTCTTTCAGAGATTTTCTTTTTTCATATGGCAGGGATGCATGACAAATCCTTGGCGTTCTTATTTCTTAATCTACTAATAGATTTCATTTTGTTTGACGTTGAAAAAGTACGTGAGTGAGTTCAATATGTATAGGAGGCATGCATAGCTTTTATTTTCATGGAGGTACTAAAATGTATATAAGTGATGTCAAAAGGATATGAGGCATGTTTAGGTTGTGCTCTAACTATAGTTATGAGGGTTACTTTTTTCTTTTTTTTTTTGTCTAGGAAGTAAACTGCAATTTTGAAAAGAACGAGAGATGATTATGTAACCACCTCCATCTTTAGCGAGTGTTCTTAAACACTGCTGGTGCTTATTAAGTAACATCTGTGATATTGAGATGCAAATATTGAAAGAACTGTTGTTCAAATCTGTTTTCAATACTGCAAATGGAGATAATTGTTGGAACCTCTAGTGAATTTTCAGTTCAATCTATTAGTAAGCATCTTATAATTGCTTATTCCAGAGATGAAGGAAAATTTCTCAAAGTGTATGTTTCAAGTATAGTTACCCTCACTGTGAAGCAAATCTCGTTACCACTTCAAATTCCATGTGATAGATGCAAACATTACATACTCATTTATTTGTTTAGTTGTTATTCTGAAATTGATGCTTCTGTTTAACATGATGACAACATTGCATTTTCGTTTGCCAAAATTGAGCTTTGTGAGTACTAACTTCTATTTTGTGTCTTTAACAGTTTCAAACGGCCATATAAAACGACCGCATGATGAAGACATACAATCTAATGTTCTTGAAATTGTTGGATCAAATATCCAGTCTACATACATTACATGCCCTGCCGATCCTGCGGCAACACTTGGTATAAAGCTTCCATTTTTGGTTATGATTGTGAAGAACGTAAAGAAGTATTTCACATTTGAGATTCAGGTGCTGGATGATAAGAATGTCAGGCGGCGTTTCCGAGCTTCTAACTTCCAAGTGTGTAAGTTTGCTCTTATTTGTGATGTTTGCTATTTTTCTGACCTATTTCTTATTTTCTTATTTCATTTCCCAGGTAAGTTGTGGGTAATGTATCACTGGGCTATTTAGTTCATTGTTATGACAAATAGAAACTGCATATAGAATTTTCATCAAGTCAAATGCATAGTGAGGACATTTGATCAGACTTCTAGAACCAACTGTCAGTTATAGAGTCTGCTGGAATTATGGGGTTTATAAATATGGCTGCTAGACCTTACATTTGACCATGCGGCTACAGTTGCAGGGTCTGATAAGTCATTGAACTGGTGAAGGAATTGTGTAGTTGTGTGTCTGGATGGTCACTTTTTGAGATAAAGAGAGAGATGGGGTGGCGTGGGGAGTGTTTCTCCTTTAGAGGTTTTAGTTTTCTTGAGGAAGCCATTGGTCTTACTAGTTGATATCAGAGTGGTGCCGATTTTAGGGTTAGGTCGAAAATAGACAATTATTTCAGCTATAATAAGATGGTTGAATGATTAATGGGAGGACTGGATAGAGCTTGAACATTTGAAATTTTGCATTTTAAGTTTTCATGTAGGATTGTTGTTTGAGTTGAAATGTTTTGAGAAGGCATACTTGGTTTAGGATAAGTTGATGTAGTTAGATAAGTCCCTATACCTCCAAGTGGTTTGCTTTTGGGTCCAACATGCAAACTTGTTAATGTTAGTACCTTTTCGTGTACTGAACCATACACATTAAATTTGATACTACTCTTTGAATCTTGCAGGCTGTCACTAGGGTGAAACCATACATATGCACCATGCCACTCAAGTTGGATGAAGGCTGGAATCAAATCCAGTTGAATCTCGCTGATTTTACCAGGAGGGCATATGGAACCAACTATGTTGAGACTTTAAGAGTTCAGGTTCATGCAAACTGCCGCCTGAGAAGGATATATTTCTCTGATCGCCTGTACTCCGAGGAGGAGCTTCCTCCAGAATTTAAACTCTACCTTCCAGTACAGCAGGTAAGGATACCATGTCCCTTTTGTACTAGCTACAAATTGGCTTCTCTGTCTTGGCGGTGGTTCTCATTGTTTATCTGATATTTCAATGCAGAAAGGATGAGAAGTGCGGGACTTCAGAATTACTGCTGCCCAATGAGAGTTTCTAGATCCCTTGCGATTCATCATCATCGTCCACTCACTTCTATCCTAGTTTCTTTCTAATGTTACAATATTAATGAAAAGCTACCAAAACTCTAGAGCTTATTTGGCAGGTCATCTATTATCATGTTTTGAGTGACTTGTCTAGGCAAAGCTTTTGAATTTCTGGTTTCTGTTTTATTTGTACCATTTGGAGGCTTTAATAGCTTCAATTGTAGTGTGCTAGAACATAAGTTATTTTCCTTCTTTGCTAGCCTTGCATCATCATTGAGTTGGAATCAACCAATGCTGATGCTAACAATAATGCCCTCGTTTTAGGAACTTGAAGATGTTCACTTTGAAACCAGAGACCGTTTGGTTGATCTCCCTGATCGATTATTGATGAATTCCCCCGGAACATATATATAATGACAGGATTAATAGCATTTTTGTATGACATCAAAATTATTTATTTGGCTAATTTCAACCTTTTCTTTTTGTGGGAAAAAAAAGAAGCACGATAAGAATACAAGAGGATTGTTGCACCTAAACTAATCAGACTCGACAAAACTGTTGGCCTATAGCAGTGTAGACTATTATTGCTAAGTGCATGATTACAGTCTATTGGTACATTTGTTTGCACGAGCAAAGACACCGGGCATCGAGGATATGAAAAGTCAGTTCCATAATCAGCCGACTGCTTCTAAATCCACCTCTGCGTCTGTCTCTCCATCTATCATTCCTGCCTCTGCTTCGGTGTCTGCGTCTAGCTGGCCTGCCTCTTGACCACAATCAGTGTCAGGGCTTTGCTTCTGATGTTCATCTGGGGTTGGAGAGCCACTTTGTGAAATATTGCCAGTTGTGACCATGGCATCAGTGTCCATTGGTGCAGCAGAGGCATCAAGATCAGTTCTACTTCCTTCACCATCAATCTCGCTTGCAGGTGTTGCAATCTGGCAAAACACACCATTACTTGAGACCAGGAAACAGCGTCCTAAAGCATTTGTAGAGGTTACCAATATATAATGCACCTAGCATCCTAATGCACCAAATCCCAAGAGTTTGAGACCAATGGTCATCTTTCACATTTTGAACATCTCAGGTTTTGATTGATAACTTTTAAACTGCAAAATGCAGAAAAAAAATAAAAATAAATAAAGCTTGAGACTGCCATTAACTTTCTGTATGATTGAACTTTCTACTGACTGTTGCAAAAACCTCATCTCATGTGCACCTAGAATAGGCTAAGTACCAGAACTTGATTTAGATTTCCTTGCAACATGAAACACCTATTGTGATAGTAAGCATGTGCTAAAACATATAAAAGATAACCCATTTCAGTCAATTAACACACGTTTGATGTCCATGGTAATTTCAGAAACAATTTTAATTTTTATCAAATGAAAAACATTAAGTGGGTCCAATTTCCAGAAAGCAGCCTATTGCGGGTAACTAGGAATCCATGATTTCATCAGGATGCTGCAATTTTTTATTTTTATTTTTTTACAAACAGACACTCAACCTTCCAGCAGTTAAAGCAATCTATTCGAACCCCCACTCAAATGATTGCAGGGAGAAAAAAAATCCCCTTCTATTTCTAATAAGAGCAACAGGTTCAAATAAATTGTTAGATACTCACATTTCCATATGTAATTAGCTAGCTTGTGTTAAGATAGATACCTGATTGTCTTCCACTTGATTTGAAGCACCCTTTGGCTCGTCCTTTTTGGCACGTTTAGACCTGTCATTAGGTTTAGCTTGGTATTTGGACCGGACATCTGATGGCAATAGTTCTAAAGGAACAACTCCTTCAATACCATGGTCAGTAAACTGCAACAAAATCCCCATATATTCTGTTAGCCAAAGGATTTTATAAAAATTAAAATACATAACAACATATTGGTTGTAATCATACTCGAGAGAAACCATCCAAATCCTGCCTAGCAGAGAAACGGAGACCTTTCCAGCAATAAACCTGGGAAAACAGAGGTAATTATAACTTTTGCGGCCAGCAATCCACACAACTTGTCATAACCATTCAACTTGCAGCAGCATATATCACCTTTAAACGACTAAAAAGAGGAGTTACATGTGTGCTTATTGACTAGCAGATCACACTAAGTTCCTACTTTGGCATAGCATTCAACACATCACAACTTGGTGTGCATATAAGAATTTGGGGTCATTCATAACTTTATCCTATCATCCCAGTCCATATCTCAAAAATAGAAATCATTTGATTCATTAATGCGGCTCGCCTTTAAAATCAAGGTAGAGCCACATGCTACTCTATTCACCATAACAATCAGAGCAGACATGGATGATTCAATGTTCATACAGATTCCATGCAAAACCATGTACATGTACTTACTGTAATTAAAGCTGGATGATTGATGCCAACAAGACAGAAACTTCATTAATGGAACATTACAACTTGAGTCCACATATTCACTTATTCACTTCTAAGAGAAACTAAAGACATGTTAGTCACAAGACCATGCATGTCCGAATCTCCTTTGTAACCCAAAAAATGGAAAAAACAAGAAAAAAAAAAAAAGATTAGGTTCAAGTTAATAAATTGCAATGCTTCAATAAAAGACACATGTCTCCTTCATCCTAAGAGGTCTAAGTTCGAATCTCCTTTGTAACCCAAAAAAAAAAAAGGTTAGCTTAGAGTTAATAAATTGCAATGCTTCAATAAAAGACATACCTCCCTCTCTCTCTCTCTCTCTCTCACAAAAAAAAAAAAAAAAAAGATGAACATCAATTCTAAAGAGCTAAAACTTACCCGGTTATTCTTGTGGTGATATTCAGCTTCTATTCCAGCTGATGGATCCATCTATAAATTCAGTAAAGAAACAAACTTATTCATAAAGAACACATCAGAATATGTATAAAGGAAACATAAGACCAAACATCAAGTTATTAATTTGACTTGGAAAAACATATTAGGGTGCTTACATCATCTGCCAATGGTCTCCAGTAATCTGTGATAGCAGGAGTTCGAACACGTGTAGGATCAGTCAAAGCATTCTGGACGTGTAAAATAAACGAAGTTGTACTAAATTGATGATCTAGAAGTATCAAACTAACAGAATATGAAATGACATCACAAAAGAACAGGAAAGAAAACCATAGATTGCTTGGGCACCATTATGAACTTTTTTTGGCACTTTGACCACATATATTCTTATAATTTAGGTTACCATGCCACATAGAAGCCATAATTAAAATATTCAGCATGTAATATACCGAGAACACAATGCAATGAGTTTTGCTGTTGAATGAAACATGAAAAGACAAGCAGATGGTCATATGACAAGTAGTTTGCATACGGTAATCATCAACTCAATTAGTGAATAAAACCAACCGGATTCTGATCTGCCCACTTCCACAGTTGAGAGAGTTCTTTGTTTCCTAACCTCCACCTTGGCTTACTGGATGATTAAGAAGAGCACACATATTTCAGAAGGAAAGATGAAAACTTTAAACAGAAATGTAATATAGCCATCAGTGATGAAGTATGCAACAAATGAGAGGAAAAAGATTACAAAAAGATTCCTAAATTTTTTATTTGCAAATAATGAGTTGGAGGGCCATCAAAGTAACTGATCCAATTGCAAGGCCCAATGTGGTCGACTATGCATAGTTTTCCCCTTATTTTCTTGGACAACTGACAAACCTTTGGTTGAGATTATGACAAGACAATTACAAAACTACACTTCCATTGTTAAAAAAAAAAAATTGCAATCTGCAAAAGAAAGCTGGTTGTAATAAGCCACACAAATTTCAATGTAGACCACTGCAAAATTGAACCACATCAGAGTTTGTGGATTCATATTAGCTATAGTTTCCAAAGCTATAAGCTTCAGCTAATTATTTACTATTGATGCAAATGTGGTTTTCTAACCTGTTATTTATTATCCAATAAAAAAGAGGAAAGAGCCCATTATATATAGCTGCTTGAATATTCTGAAGGGCAGCAGAATGCTAAACGAGTGTTTTGCTATCCTACTATCTTCAACATCCATTCTTAATGTGCATATTCCTAAAAGGATATAGTGTCAAGAATGTAAGCATGAAAGGAAAACATGAAGCACCAACTTGCATACCGTTTTTTGCCTCCATCTTGGACAGTTTTGTTCTCTATTGGCTGCTTTTCGAAGGGAGGGCAACCATCACGTTTCCACCACAACTAAAAGCACGAAAACTGCAAATTATTATTCTATACAAAGGTCATCTCACGACATAAGCTATAGATATGCATATCCAATACCTATAAAGCAAGAGAGCCACAAAATAAGCATATTCTTACCCAATTCTTTTCACGTTCTAGTATATGCTCAACCTTGTGAAGAAAATCTTTTCCTTTAGGTGGAATCATTTCAAGCAATTTCTTTACATGCTCCTCGTGAGTTTTTATTTCTTCTTTCTAGAATAAACAGAGAAAATGGTCATAGCAAATTATGTCATTCTATCCATTACATTTATGCATAACTCACATGTCAACAAGAATATACAATAATAGTCACGCAGACAGGAATACAAATGAAATATTGTACAAGAGGGATGGTGTTCTTAATGCTATAGAATGTATGTAGCAGGTGAGGAAAGGTGCTTCGAAGCACATGGTGCAGTAGCGTTGCACACGAATGATGTCTAAGTAAAGAGCGGAATGAATTAGAAAGAGGCTTGAGAGGAGAACCAGGCATTCTTAATGCTATAGAATGTCTGTAGCAGGTGAGGAAAGGTGCATGCCGATATTGAAAGCACAGACAAAAGTTGAAGTGAAGCAGGTCTGTGCCTCAAAGCTTGTGGCTCCAATCTGTCTCAATTTAAGGCATCGACCTAGGATTTCTCAAGATGTGCCACAGCATTCTCTTATTTCTTATATTTCTACTACTACACTCACCTTAGGAGTTTTCTCCAATCGCTATGTCTGCACTTTCATATAGCATATTTGGAGTCTCCTCTCTTCTCTCTCTCTTTCTGTACACTACTGAATCAAAATTGAGAATGAGCCACACACTCCTCTCTTTATATGCCATGCAAAGGTAATGTCAGTCTCAATTTTGTTCTTGCAATCACGAAGTGCATGGAAAAATTTACTTGCATACCACCTGTTACCTCACAATGCACACTTTATTAAATATTTCCATGGATGCTTTTTGCTGTAATTATGATTAACATGGCATTTCTATTAACTACCATGCAGGGCAGGATGTAAATGCTAAATCTTTATTCCTTTATTATTTCTGTTAGAACATATCTCACATTGAATAGTTAAATCAATAATAAATAATAGATAAAGTTGAAAAGGGACCACCCACCATAAGGCTTAAGTCTTTTGGATGGAACCCAATCTCAACTATCTAGCTCTATAATTTCCATAACAATCATTGATTAGTTATGTTAATTATGTTATTTAAGTATAAGATTGTCATTTTACATTCTTATTATCATCCTAGATTACTCAGACTTCTTGTTACAGTCACACTTAACATTCTCTATGTTTGGTTTTGAATGATCCAAACAGTGGACTTGGAGGAGAAGTGTGTATTTAATGTGGATTTCAAGCTATCAAAAGTGCATATTAGATGCAAAGAACCAGGCAAACAGGAATTTAATGCTGGTAGTATCCTCCCCTAAAATAAGGTTCCTAAAAGGGCAATAATGAAGATAGAAAGACATTCATATTGACCTAAGTCTCCCTAACTACCTATTTTATCAAGTTAGTATACTAGTACGTGCACATGGTGCACATCTAGAATCTGCCATGTACAAAATTTTCAAACTTCATAAAAGCAAAGGTAAAGAAAAACTAGATACTTTGTGGAAATTCATCCTTGCCAGCCAGTTCAAACTTTTGCCATGAGAGGAGTAACACATTCATGAAGTCTCAATATTTCAAATTTTTTTGAATGTTGATGATAGAAATCTCAAGAGAATTTGATGAAATGCAGCAGCATCAAATTCATTGCTTTCAGAATGTTCTGGGATCATGATATTCAAACACGTGCATTATCAGAACTTCAATGAAGAAAACAAATAGTGGGCACACACAAGCATGAATAAAATTTGCATGTGTGAGCACACAAGTGTCCAATCCATGTGCATGTGTGCAAATAATTTGCAGATTTTTGTATAACTTACAAAATGAATAATGGAACAGCACTAACCATGCTTTCAGATGTTAAGTCTTTGTCATTCTTTCCTGGAGCCTACAAAAAAAAAAAAAAAAAAACATAGAGTTAATCAATTAGAGACAAAGACTAGAAAAAGTGTGAAAAAAGAAGAAGATAAACAAAATAAATAACGAAATGAGAAGCACACAAAAGGCTTTTATTTGAAAACCCAGCATTCATTACCTTAAGGTAGTCAAACAGTATGAGGCACTGCACAAGAATATGGCGTCGAAAACTTGGATCTTTTAACTGGAAAATAAAATTAAAAAAAAAAAGAATTGAGAAGCTAAACATTAGACCAAGATGTTCTTTCTGAACTGTTCAACAGCAGTTTCAAACACCAGTCACCTCTAAACCCATCAGTTTACTGCTTGTGAGATACTTTATGTTAAATGCTGCTGCCTCTTCCTCCAAATTGTTAGCACCTCCTTCTTCTTCACTCAAAGGCTGAGCTTCAAAGGTATTCAAGACAACCTATATATCTCAAAAATTTAAAGATCTTCATTGTGAAGGTCATAAACTTTGGAAGAATAAAATAAGACTAAAATTTTAATTTAATATCGAGTAAAAAGATATAAAACTATTGAAAGATAAAAGTTCACCATCAAACTCGATGTGAATTTTTGCCACTTGACTGCAGAAAGAGTAAGGGAAGGGTCACAGAAGTACTCCTGAAAATGAAAGCAGACAATTCATCAGAGTACTTAGAGCAAGTAGCTGTGAAACAAAATAAAAAATCACCAAGAGAAAATGATAAGAGAAAGTATACTCTAGGAAGCAACCCTCAAACTAAACCAAATACTAAACAATTCCACTATCAAAGTCCTAATGATAACATAGAATAAGAGAAGCAAGAGAAGAAACGAAACCCAAATAAGAAGAGCAAACACAGATGGTAGAGAAATGTTAATTAATTTTCTAATTTCCTCAATAAACCACAAATCTTTAATAGTATTAAGATTCCTAAATAAGAAAATTCTTAAATAGAATAGGTTATAAGAAAAACTGAGATATACAGAATAAAAAGACAGATTAAAATAACTTAAAGTTCTCTGTTTTGTTGGATCTTTATTTCTTTTCCCTGTAAGAAGATGAAACTAAATGCAAGATTATGCTTCTTCTTTGAACCAATATATTGGATAAGTAGTTTCTCACCTAAATACCCCAGAATTATGTAAGAGAATATTTTTGTCAGAGTATGATGAGCATTTGTTTGGGCTAAGAGAATGTAATCGTTTTCCAAACTAAGAACAGTTATTGAGGCAAGGTTTACCTGTAAACTCCACAAGGTTTTATAGAAGTTGAAGTCGAGAGAAATGGCTGAAAATGAGGGACAAAAATTAGCACATACAGTCCAACAATAAAGTTGGAGGTACTAGACAGATCAATACAAAGTTCACTTAAGTTTTCTGTAGCTAATATGTACCAGCTGGTGGCTCTTTCTCATATTTAGTCTCATTTGATGTGTTGAAAACTCCTTTTATGTTTACAGCTGCAGCCATTAAGCAGACCGAAGTAACGTATTAATCCAATGAAAGCAATCTCTATTGGCATACAAGAGCTGAAAACAAATACTTACCTGAGCGCTCAGATAATGGAAAAAAGTGTGCCAGAAACATAAGAATTCGTCCACAAAACACGACATCATTTGCCTATAAAGTCAATATGTTAGAACCAAAAGTTAAGCAAACAGTAGCTAGTAGCCCCTGTCAAATTTTCCTTTATTCGGAAAAAGAAAAAGAAAAAGGGAAAAAGGGAAAGCAATTAAAGAAGAATTTACGATTGTGTTATGTTAATTCAAACAAAAGCAAAACTGACTTTGTTGTTAAAGTTTCTATAGATAAGCATTCTTATATTTTCTTCATTACAAAATCCCAACATACAAAGATAAGCAAAAGTAACTAAGCCCCACCAAGAAGAAGGAAATAAATCAAGAGCTATATCCACATTTAACATTACAGAAAAACCATTGTTGGACAGATTCTTCATAACAAGAGAAAGAGGAGACCAGTTACGCATCTTCATCCAAGATTCATAATAAAGAGCAGACCAGTTATACATCTTAATCCAAGATTCATAATAAAGACGAGACCAGTTGTACGTCGTCATCCAAGATTCATAATGTAAAAAGTCCATCAGGATAAAGAGCTTTCACCCTCTAATGTGATCTTGCCAAGCCAATACAAATACAAATTCTTTTGTTGGCAAAAGTTAGCATACAAGAAATTATGCTTATGTATGTATTAAATATATTGATACATCAAACTACCTTTGAAAGGCGACGGAGAAGTTGATTGCATGTTCTCAACATCACAAGTTTTCCACGAGCAAAAAGTTCTTGCTGTAAGCAAAGCAACCATCAAAATAAACACAATTGTTAGTTGCAATAGAATATGTAGTAATATTGTTGGAGAGTCTAATCAAAATCACAAACATGGATAAAAAGACAAACAAAAAACTGGAACAATCTGAAAGTGTATACCTTTCCAAGTATATCTTGCTTACTCTCTATGTAACCAAAAACATGCTTGCAGTTTCTCATTGTAGACATTTCAGTCAAATCTTCCAAAAGCTGGAATATCATCCCACCTTCAATATGCTCTCTCTCACAGAGATATAGAACAACATCTGGTAGCACCAAAAAGAAGTTTGAACTTTGAAAAGTAATAATGAGATAATAAGATATGTGCAAAAGATAAACAGCTTCGTACTGGAACAAGAATCGAAGGCCTAACGAAAGGTAATTAAACAGCTACATCATTGGTTCAAGCTCTATTCAAGTCCACCAGACGTCATCCTTCAGATTGATATTGAAATATACAATGATAAATAAGAAGAATAAGACATCATAAGGTAGGATACTTGGTCACTCAACGCAGAAAATATCAGTTACGAAAATTCAGACAACTTCAAGGAGCCTCGTCCCAGAGAATGAATGGTTTGCTATAGAGGGGTTTTCTACAATATTTTTACTTCTGGAGTCTAAAGTTCTTGCATCAATCCTTCAATGATCCATGCATAAGTAGAGCACTGCATGACACAAGTCAAATTAACTCTGAACGCTACAAACATAACAGTTCAAAGGATTTACAGAACCCATTCAAGCTCCATCCACCAGAACCTAGTGTGGGAGCACTTTGGTCAAGTTTTGTATAACGAATTACATTTTAAAATCATTAAAGAAAAGGCACAAAAATTTCTATCGATCAGAACTTCTATGGTTTCACACATCTGTATACTGAATCCATATGTGTCAGCTATGAGTCTAATCTTGTTTAGTTCAGTTGTTCAAAACTAATCCAAGATGAAACACAAAATTTGTAAGCAAGCTGAACATAGATTAATTTTTTTCTTAGACCCATCCCTGAATAAAGTACAGTGAATTCCACAATTTCTTACATGTCTAAGAGGAAAAGAACTGATAAAAGTACACTGCCTCTTGCGGAACTAAGCATATTTATCTTGCATGGATTTCCTCAATCAACTAAACCGGATCAATCCAACACAAAAAAAAAAAATAAATAAATAAATAAAAAGCTCTCACAAACCAATTTGCAGGTCACTATTAAAACCCAAAAAAAAAAAAAATTTATTTTTTAATTATATTCATCTTTCAAGACTTTAATCCTTGTAAAATACTACACCAAAATTTAACAGAACTTAATTCAGAATCTTAGCCAAACATGTGCAAACTTACACACAGAGAAACTAAATACCAATTAGCTGGTATATACCTAGTAGACGAGGAACTTGACCCAGAGAGTTCTCCCCATCATCAATTGATTTCCCATATAACATTATTTCCTCCCCCAACTGTGCAGCAGAAGACTGCACCAAAAACAAAGGCGAAATCTCTCAGCTCAACAAATAGAAACAAGTCAACAAGTAAAGGTACTGAACACCAAACGAACAAGAAAAAAAAATCCACAGTTACGCCTATAACTACATATAAATGTTCTTCAATGCACACACACACAAAAAAAAAAAAAAAAAAAAAAAAAAAAAAAAAAATGAAAGCATACCACGAGCTCCTGAAGCAATGTCCGGAGCATATTTTCCAACAATTGATTCTCATCTTGCACTAATTTAGTTTGCTTCTGTAATCATCATTCAATTATAAGAGTAAGAATTCACACCCACTCATGCACAAAAAAAAAAAAATGGATCCTATATTCATATCAGAAAAGAGAGAGAGAGAGAGATTAATAAAACACCTGAGGTCTAATAAAATCTTGAACAGTCTGAAGAGCAAAAGTTTCAATTTGTCCAGGCTGCAATATAGCCCTCTTGAATTCTTCCTAAAAAAATAAAAATAAACCCACCATAAATAACAACGAAAAAGAAACAAAGGCAAAGGCAATATAGCATTGTAAAACATCACCAAATGTGAAAATAAAATCCTGAAAAAATCATAAAAAGTGAAAACCAGTAACTAAATTTAACAACTGAAATCACAATTAACAATTTTTCTCTACTTGGCCATTTATAATGCAATAAAAAGGTGATTGAATTTCAAAAAATGAAACTGAAACCCTAACAAAAATGTCAAAAACTACACCAAAAAAGATAAGTAACAGCACAAATTGAAATGTAGGGGGAAAAAAAGCGTTACCATGTTGAAGAATTTAACTAAACTGCAAGCTTGAAAATCACCAACCGCTCTGTACGTCTTAGTACTGTTAAGTGATTTTGGTGCGGTGAGTGCAACTAAAGGAAAGAGAGGGAAGCAGGTAAGTAAAGGGAAGTTGCAGCCCGAGATGACAGAAGATCGAACTGGTTTTTAAAAATTTCGTCACAAAGACAGGCCTGCTCATATCTAAAGGCTTACAATCATGGGCTAGTAAATTCAATACAACACAGGCCCAGCTCGTTTTTTGTTTTCTGTTTTGGGTTGGGTTTTATCTATTGCCAAAGCCTGTCAGATCTGAGGAGGACATTAGGCCGTTAGATGTAAAATTCTAATTCTTCGCTCTCAATTGTGAATATTCTACTGAATTAAAAATTATTTGCAGTTTTTTTTTTTTTGGCTTTTGTGTATGGAATTTTTTAAAGAAATTTTTTTTTTAATTTATTTTGGCCTATATGATATCATATTAGATAATGCAAATGATTTTGGAGATTGGTATGGTTGTTTTTTTCTTGTCATTAGGGTAATTTCTCATTAATTTACTAGTCCAGTTGGAATAGTTCCTATTTAATAAAAAAATAAAATAAAAATGTTATAATTAAGATTGTGTTATCATGAGATACAAACACTCATTCTTCTGATATTTCTCTCCAAAATTAGCTTATTGATATAGCTTTCATCCTTTTTTTTCCTCTTTTTTCAGGTATTCCTAAAAGAAATTTTTAACCTTAGTTTTTTTCTTTAAATAGGATGCTTTTTAATTTATTTTTTCAAAATAAGTTGTTTTAAATTTTATTTATTAAAAAATAAATTTTTTTCTGCCAAACTTTTCCCCTACCGACTAAAATGAAATATTTGAATGTTATAGAAACCAAATCAAAACTCCAATATTATCTTCAACCTCTATCAATAAGTAGCATCTTAACCCACTAAAAAACAGATAATGAATGGATCAAAATATATCTCATGCTTTTTTCATCCTAACATTCTAGATCACGGTACCATAAACTAAATAAAGCATAAATTAAGTCAAAATATTCCATTAAGCATCATGTTAATTAAACAAAATATCTTCCCAATTTAATAAAAAAAATCAAATATCCTTTTTGGAATAATCTTAATTTTTAATAATCTTTCACGGCAACCTGATCAATCTACATATTTCATAATCATTTCAATTCTCAAAAAAAAAAAACGTTATAAACAAGTCCTTTCTTTCTCTACTTGAGCCAATAAAAAATTCAATTTCTTTGAGCAAAATTATATTTGATAGAAGATGGCTTATTTATATATTTGGAGACACCTATGAATCAAATTAATGATTAATAACTGGAAAGAATCAAAGCTATGCTAGTCTTTGTAGTTAAGAAGAAGAAGAAGAAGAAGAAGAAGCTTTATAATTAGAAAACTAGAATGTCATTGTTATGAACTATAAAATCAACAAAAACCGAAAATATTCAGAGGTTCGAATTTCTAATTTGAAATCAAACGTAAAATAATTACATGATTGTGTAAAATAATTAACTTGGTAGCCAGCACTGAAAAAACAAAAGATACTATGTAATTAGAAATAAAAAGTTGTGGTGATACGCAATGAAAAAAAATATATATAAAACCAACTTTCTTTTGTTTCTTTTATATTAATAAAATTACATTAAAACAATTAAAATAGCATATCACTAAATACCATATTAAGAAATAAATTTAAAACTATCTTGATTTCAAACTAAAAATTTTAAAAATATCCTATTAAAAAAATATCATTTGATATTTCACCATTATACAATTATTATCTATGCTATAGAAGGATTATTATAGGATAATTATTACACTACCAAACTTTAAAAATAGTTATTATAAAAGGATTGTGTTATAATTATTACATCAACAACAAAATCAATATGTTTTAAACTCTCTAGCCATGGATGTAGTTATCTTTCCCTTTTCCACCATTTAAACTCATACATTAATTTATAACATCAACAGATAAACTTCCTTTCTTAATTTTTCGCTATATTTCACTCATTTTCTACAAGATGTTCTCAACAAAAACTGTCCTTTACGCCTTTTGCTACAAGATCTTCATAACAAAAATTGTCCACAATGCTGAATTGAGTAAAATAATTCATTTAGATTTAACTAAAAACAACATAAAATGTTAATAATTGATAAATTATTAACGATGGATAGTTTTCTCCAACATCTCGGTATCGAAAAAAAAAAACTTTATTATTGCTCAAATATTTTCTTTTACATGTTCTACTATTCTTAGCCATTTTCGAATGTAATATTCTTTTTACAACTGTAACTACATTAATTAACACAAAATACACAAAATTTTAGTACCTTACACCTAACAATCTCACAACATTTGCATGAACATGCATCATACATGATGCAAAATTACACTTAAACCACTTAGTCTAGTCATAAAACAGACTTGTTATACTTGAAACTCCTTAATCCCATATACATTTCTCATATGCTAACTCCTAACAATCTTTCATGAACATGCATAACACAAAAAGCAGACGTTTTGTTTAAACTTAAACTGATATTCAGGATCAAAAACTTGCTGAATTTGCCAGATGTGTTCATCATTTCCGGCTTCTGCTAACCCTTTCACTGGAGCAAATGGCGGTGAGTTCTTACATCCGAAACCCACTAATGTTACAAGAATAAGAAATAAAGTGATCACAGCCAGCAAATGAAAGATCAAACATGGTTTTGCATTGTTACTGAATGAAGCCACTCGTCATTTTGATCTTCATGTGAAAGAAATCGTCAAGTGGCACTCTCAGGCTAACAACCCAGCCGAGCAAGGTTGGGTCCTCTGTTTCTCCGATATATTCGCACACGATATGCCTCAACACACCACTTAGGAATAATTAAACCCTATAAAAATACAAAAACTACCAAAAAAAAGCTAAATGACCAAACCTCTTCTTAATTTTAATTCATTTGAAAATCAGTTTTTGATTTTTCTAAACTTTTTTTTTCAATAGATTTAATCCATCTTCTAACACATTCTCTAAAAATTACAATTATTGGTTAAAATTTTGTACACCTGATGGAAAAACATCCAATACATTTTCTAAAAAATCCTAAATCTTTTCAAGATTGGAAAATATATTGTTTTATTTTCTTAACATTAAAAATATAAAAAATTAGAAAAATAAAAAATAATTCCGAATGATCCTAATTTTTTTAGGAGTCAAATAAATATTACTAAATGATTTCCATAGTAGAACTATATATATAATAATTATTTCTTGTATAAAACTGAAGGATGGACTAAATCTAAAAAAATAAAATAAAAAATCTATAAGAGGTCAAACCCAAAATTAGAGATTTACTGATTCATTTTCAAATAAATTAAAATTTTGGAGAGATTTGACCCATTTAGCAAAAAATAAAAATTAAAGATGCGCAAATGGAACGTTAGAAAAAACAGAAATTGTCACAATGGTGAGGAATTTAACTACACTGCAAGTCTAAATCAAGAATCGCGCTGTACTTTTTTAACAGTGATTTTAGCGCGGTCAGTGCGGTTGAGTGCAGTTGAAGGAAAGGGAGGGAAGCAGCTGTGTCAAGTTGCAAGTTGCTGCCCGAGAAGCAAGATCGAATTCTTGATTTTTTAAAAAAAATTCGTAGAAACACAGGCCTGCTCGTGAGGCTTATGAGCATGGACTCGCAAAAGCCATAGAAGCCCGACCCGTGCTTTTTGTTTTTAGTCCTATGTTTTTGCTGGTGACAAAATGTTTTCCCAGAAAAAGGAAAAATTTTGAAACAACAAATACTCTGCAAATCACCGTCTCTCCATATTTTTGTTAGCATTAATTCTCATTGTCACTATTTGGCTTTGCCATGAAAAAATTTACATTACAAGTACAACCATAAACGATGCAATGCAATACAGGTACTTACTCCATCAGAGATGATCTATATCAGAGTGTCACCTTTGTCAAATTCTACCAAGTTAAGCATCACAAAAGGGCAAGATTGGTTTCTTGTTTCTTTCGACTTTGGAGCTGTACAGGCATTTGAGATCAATATCAAATCCATGCATCGAAAAGGATTCTGAAAATCAATAGGTTCAATCACTCAGATTTATCTCTGTTCTCGGAAGTTGCACGCGCTAACTGTTTGAATACTGGAGAGTATCTGTGTTGCCGGATGAACATGATCAGAAGAAAAGTATTGGCAGCCAGGAACACTAAGCCTGCCAACCAAAGCTGTAGGAAAACATTTTTGCCCTTAAATTCAAGCAAATAAGCCCACAACAACCAATGGGTCTGGGCTCCCATCCATAGAAGCATGCAACTTAAGCCTTCCCACTTCAGCTTCATTTTGCTCCATGGAAGTATCAGAGGCAACAAGCAGAAGAACCACACAAAATATTGTGCGGTAATTACCTGTGAACCAACATAAATGTGACTTAAATCAAACACTGAACCATTTTTTTCCCCTTGAATACCAATAAAAACACGATTCTATGGAAATTTGAAGGGTGTGGTTGTCGCCAGAATCTTAATTTACATCTACTCCATAGAGAGGTCCATAAAGAAAGTAAAAAATAAAGGGAAAAAAGTACGACAAACTGATAAAAGAAAGGAAGCATGCAGATCATGTTTTCTGTACTTAATAGATGATAAATACAGTAAATGGAATTTCAATGAAGTTGGAATAAGTGATTGAAACAAACCTTATTGAATGCCACAAAGGCGACTGTCTGCAAGAAAAGGCAGAATGGAAGATCTTGAGCAAAGCGAAAAATAAGAACCAGCTGCACTATCAATTGAGGCAAAAAAGAGATGAGCTTCTCCACTGCTGAAAATTCGTGTTCATAATGGAGATATATGTGATAGAAATAGATGGAAAAATTGTGTCTGGGATCTGTACGAGTGAGATGGTACAGCAACGCCTCATTTAAAAACTCCCATCCATATAAATAGAAGAAAAGACCAGTACATAAGATGAAAACAGCTCCCGAGACCAGTGCAAACATAATTCTCCCTCTTGAAAATATGGTTTTCACTGTAGTCCATAAGCTGTGTACGTCAGATGCTTCTTTACTACTGTGAGATGCATTATCTTGACTAGATTTCCAATTCACAAGGCGTGGCTTCTGACCAGATTGGACGAAGTTTGGATCAAGAACCAGAACTATAGGAAGCGCATAGATTATGGGATAAATCCTGAAATGGACAACCAATCCATACCAAAATGCAGCTTGGACCACATTACCTGCCCGACAGAAAATAGAACGGTATCAAGAGAATTAGATATTTAGATGTGCTTGCACTCTGCATATACCAATCACAGGACACATCACGAACGTGAAGGAACAAAAAGAGAGCCAATTAACGCTAATTTTTCTATGTGTACATTGATCTTTAGAATCCACGACTTCTGAAAAAAAAATGCTGGGTAAAGAATTTTCATGCTAGCTGTTGAAAAAAGGAGAAGTTAGCACTTAAGAGTGAGCAGAGCACTCCCCTAAACACTGCAAAGAATCTAGCAAACCAGACCACATATCCCTATCACTTGGCATTTATCAAAGGAGTTTTCTCTCACAGTTCATCGCCTTAAATTGAATCATGCTTTCAGGGAAACAGATTGATAGATAGACAATAGGTGAATTTAACCCACCTAGAAGCATCAAATAGAAACATATACAATAAACAGGTTGCATCTATCTTAAGAGAAACTACTAAACATCATCCATTTTTCAACAAGAATACATAGATAGAAGTAGAAATGTACCGTTCATAAGACAGATAATGATCCACAAAATCATGGCACACACCATGGGCTCACAATTCCCACGGGTTCCAATGGTGAAGGTAAATGGATTCAGTAGCCATACCATTACAGAATACAGACACATATCCTCAGGCACCTCACGTTTCTTCAGAATGTAGCGAATAAACAACCCCACAAGTAAATCTGCAAAATCAAATATCATAAATCTAAAATTTAAAAAGAACCCAACTTTTAAAACCAAATTCCGAGCAAGAAAAAAAACACAAAATCATGTCAAAAAACTAGGATCTTTTACATAAAACTAAACTAAAACGAACCCAACTTTCAAAACCAAAATCCATTCATGAAACCACACTAAACCAATTAAAAGTTTGAGACTTTCACGCTTTACCTGCAGCAGAGAAGATGAACTTGCCCCAGGAACGATGAATAAAAGAATTGGGTGTCAATAAAAAGGCAAGCAATGGTGAATATCTATAGGTAGTTCTTTTATAGGGAGATTCACCAGAAACCACTAATGCAGCAGCATCAGAAAATACAAGGTAATCTACATCTGTGTATCTAACTTCCATGTGGGCATCTTGCCATTCTCCATAAACAATTAGAATTACTCGAAAAATTGCCGAGAGGAGAAGTAAAGTATGGATTTTTGGCAATTTCATTGCTGAAAGAGAAAACAAGAAAAATAGTCTATAGAATGGACAAAAAATATAGAAGATGAGTGCTAATAAATAGAGTATAGTGTCTCACTGGAGGTAACAGAAGAAGGCCTGTAATGTTGGGTGGATGTGTAGATCTTGGAACTGGGAAGTCTGTTTAGACTTAGGACTTCACTGATGTCATGTATCAGTACAGTACCACAATTCCGCACTGTTAAGCTTCAAGTCCAAACTCCGAAAGGTCCAAACCATTCCCAATTTAATCTACAAATAGTTAAGGTTGAAAGGCAATTGGTCCTCATACTGTCATTAATTATCGACTGGGTACTTCAACAAAAGAAAGTCACAATTGAATCCTCCAACTATCAAGCATTACCTAATTACCCCACCATCGGAGTTCAAGACACAAATGGCCTCATTTCAAGATAAATCGTTTCTCTCTCTTTTTTTTTTTTTGTGATTTTAAAGGAAAAAAAAATTAAGACTATGGCTTTAATGGGGCAGTTCCTTATGGTTGGGGACTTAATTGGGGCTTTTTTTTGTTTGGATACTCGGTTGAGGATTAAATAATAGTTGGGGATAAACATGTTATTTATCCAATGGTAAATTTAACTTAAGGAGGAATTAAAAAAAAAATCCATCCATAAGGTCGATAAAAGTTAAAAGAATGAAAATAGAAAGTAAACTGTTGTCTTCGTTTTAAAATAGAAGGATAAAAATAAAATTATATTTATCTTTTGCTTTCTTATGAGATAAATACGAAAAAAAAAGTATTAAAATTTGCATGATGTTAGGGTAATGGATATTACGTTTCCATTACTGAAAAACAACACGATAAATCTCTTTCTTTTTTCTAAGAACTATAAAATCTTTTAAATCTTAAGAGATGCATGGCATGTGTATATTTTTTTAATTCACGTGCGTTAAATAGAAACCCAAATCAATTCAACGTGTCACTTTCTTGATATTTGCTCTATTCCTGATATTCTTGTCCCTTCCTCAGATGGCATATAAACGATAAAGCGGATCCATCTCTCGTTTGATGGTTGAGAATTTACATGGAAAAAAAAAAAAAAAAGCATCTTAATTTTATTGATTGTTATTTATTTCAAAAAAAAAAAAAAAACTTTTATCTTACGGAATTAATTTATATTTTTAGGCCGTTTTTATTAGAGTATTAATACTATTCTCCTATTTTTTTTGGATTTAAGGTTTATAATTATCTTAAATTATATTATTATGTTTTATTTATTAATTCTTATTAGAAAATAAGTCTTAATATATATCAGCATGTGCATTTTTTTGGCTTGAGAACGTCAGTTACTTCGATCTAGTTTTGATGATAACAAAGCATTTGGTGGATGTTAATATTTTTCTTTATTATTATTATTATTATTTACAAGTATGGTGATTATCTAGTACATTTCAAAGAATTGTTGGCATGCTTGGTGGTGTGTAAAATGGAGAGGTCGATGACTGAGGTTGTTTCAAGTTTAGTTCATGGACTATAAAACTTAATTAAGGTTCGAGTTTTTTTAAGAATTAAAATAACTCTTTAAAATAAACTCCGGGCATAAAAATACTCCTAAAAAGCTTGCCACGAAATTAGCTTCAGAAGTCTTAGACCTTTTTCTCCAAATTTATAGAAACCATCTAGTATGCCAAATGATTTAATAGCAACAAAAAAAAAAAAAAAACTTTCTTATCACTTTTGGTTGATTATTTTTTTTGTCTTTAGTATCTTACATGTCCTTTATGCTTTTCCATGTGGAAGAGTTTATCTCACCTATTCTGATTATTTTTTTAAATTTAAAAAATGGCTTTATTGACTTCTTGCAAACTAAGATTAACAAGACTAAGAGTTTCTTTTTCTTTTTTTCTATTTGGTTCTCCTAAAGGTTTGTGACATCATCTAAAATCGTGTGGTTTGAGCTTGAATCGGACTGTTTTTGTTATTCATTCTAAATGTTGTTTGATTTTGTGAAATCGTATTGATACGAATGCGAATCAAATTGTTTTTGTAATTTTTAAGAATATTGTTTGATTTTTTATGAAAACTGTGAAGTTTAAAATTGCATCGGTTCGAATCGGAATTAAACTGTTTTTGTTATTTTTGCCAAATGTTGTTTGATTTTGCCATGAAAATTGCAGATCCTAAAATCTCATTGGTCTGAACTCGAATCAAAGTGAGGATCTAGTGTACCAAATTTATAAGGCTCTCCAAATCTGACAATACCTTCAAAAATTGTTTAAAACAATAAGTTTTTACTTGATTTATAAATAGACATTTGTTTTAACCTTCTTGGTGCAATAATTTTCTTACTCGTGCAAGTTAAAAACTTAATTATTCTATTAACATCGTTTTGACTTCATCATCATTTACCGTTCAAAAAATTAATTTGATATTTACAAGGACTTAACCTTCTTTATATAATTTACTATTTATTCGTGTGAGTTCTTGCTTTATTATTTTTCAGTGACAAACATTATTAAAGTGTAATCCACACTTTAACTATTTGGGTTTTAGGGTTCTAAGATTTTGATAGATTGTGTGAGTGGATTTAATTTAGGCTATAAAAACAATCATATAAAGATTTTTATTTGAAGCCATAAAAAAAGAAGATAAACATCATAAACGATAACACCTTACTATCAAATAGGGTCGTTGATAGTAGAAATACTCGGATTTTCAATCCAAATAACGGAGTAAACATTAGATCGAACTGCTATACATTGCGATACTATATATCTATCCTTGCTTTTTTTTAAAAAAAAATTATTATACCACTTTATTTATGTTGTATATACTTAAAGGTTTGAAAAATAGATTAGATTAAGATTGGCTGAGCGATATTTTGAAAAAAAGTTTAAGCAATTAAGTTTCAATTTACCACTTAATTCGTCTCTTATCCAGGACGCTAATGCTTTCGGTTTTGTTATATGAAAACTCTCAATCTGGATATCAATTAGCACCCTTTTAAGCTGCCACTTGCAAATTATTACTTGCTTTCATATGATGCATGTAAGCCTTCGGAACTAAATTATATATATAGAATTCAAGCATTCAAAAATATAGAAACTACTAATATTTTGATAGCCGGTGTTTATTGAGTTGGACAATAAAATTAAGCTATTTTAATCAAATATTTACTCTTTACGTGCAAGTTTTTATCTTATGATATAAAATCTAAAAAAATGCATATCCTTAAAAACAAATGCAATTTTTCATTTGTTCCAAGCACCTTTGGAGTCTTCAATTAGAATGTAATTAGCATATATCTCGTGCGTTACTTGCGGCATGAGCCATACAACATTCTTATGTGTTCATTCGTATAAAATACAAAATTTAAAAATAATTATTTAAAAGGATCATGCGAAAAAAAAAAGAACCAAAGCATATATCTCGTATTTTCGTTGCGGGGTTAGCTAAACAAAAAGTACGAAAAGTTGAGCGATATAATGTTGCTATAGATATTGTTTAATATAAACATGTATTTTATTAAAAATATGTATAATACATGGTAATTAAAATAATGATGTGGTAGTTTTTTGAATTTGAGATGATTAATTTTTATCATATATTCTTCATCCGTATTTTGTTAATGAGATAGAAAGACCACAAAAAAACAAAAAGATAAAAAAGCTTTGTCAAATCGAGAATTTGGCAAAAAAAAAAAAAAAAAAAGAGATAAAATTACACACGAGTAAAATTAAATGGTCAAAACAAAGCAAAGATCATAAAAAGAAGGATCAAAATAAATAAAAACTTTCACTAAAAGTAAAAAAAAAAAAAACTTATAAACAATAAGACTAAAAAAATTTATTATGAATAAGCCGGGAACAAAAGTAAAATATGAGAGAATTTTAATGACCAAAATTAAAAAAATCACAAAATAAGAACCAAAATATAAAATTTTTTTTACTAAAAGCCAAAAAAAAAAAAAACTTAGAATGGTGAAACTATAGTTAATTTTAGTGTAGAAAGAATAATAATCAAATTTAATAAAAATTTAATGATCAAAATAAAAAAAATTACAAAATAAAAACCAAAACATAACAAAATGTTTTATCAAAAGCAAAAAATAGTTTCTTGTAGAGGAAAAAAAATCAAATATGATAAAAATTTAATGATCAAAATAAAAAATAATTACAAAACGAGGGATGTAAACAAAAATAAAATTCTATTAAATTTAATAGCCAAAACAAAGAAAAAAAATCACAAAACAGAAATTATAATAGAAAGAAAAGTTTCACTAAAAGCAAAAAAAAAAAAAAAAAAAAAAAAAAAAAAAAAACTTAGGATAGTAAAACTTTATTTAGTTTTAGTATAGTAATGATAAAAATCAAACATGATAAAGTTTTAATGGCCAAAATAAAAATATATTGCAAAATAGGAATAAAAAAAGAACATAAATTTTTTACTAAAAGCTAAAAAAAATTTATTATAGAGACAAAAATATAATATAATAAAATTATAATGATCAAAATAAAAAAAAAATTATAAATGATAGATTAAAATAAAAATAAAGTTCACCAAAAGCGAAAAGAAGGCCTTGGGGAAAAAAAAACTGTCAACAGTTAATCTACGTAAAGTGCTATAGTATTTTTGCGTTTTCTTTTAGTTGTTTTTTATAATTATAATAATTTCTATTTCTACCAACAAATGCTTCTACATTAATTTTAATTTGGGTGGTCTTACAAAGATAAAATCACAAAGGCTTTTAAATAATCAAGATAACATTCCATCACTATTTAAACCAAAAAAATATTAATACAGAGTCTCTGTGGTAAATTACAATCTCATTTAAGAGGAAAATTAATAAAAATAGTATTTTCAACATTTTTGTTTTCCCTCGAAACAACACTAGCAACAAAAGCAAGAAGAGATCACTGTGCTATGCACTAAGGGCGACCGCATAGTAACTCTCTTTACCTGCTGGCACAAAACGACACAGCCAATCCAAAACAAAATCAGTAAATGGGCCCACAAAGCCGCAACCCAC